TCCCTCCCTCCCTCCTCCTCCTCCCTCCTCCTCCTCCTCCTCCTCCTCCTCCTCCTCCCTCCTCCTCCTCCTCCTCTCTCCTCCTCCTCCTCCCTCTCCTCCTCTTCCTCTCTCCTCCTCCTCCTCCTCTCCTCCTCTCTCCTCCTCCTTCCTCCTCCTCCTCCTCCTCCCCCTCCTCTCCCCTCCTCTCCTCTCCCTCCTCCTTCCTCCTCCCCTTCCCTCTCCCTCCTCCTAATCATTTCAGTCGCTTGCGTTCCGAGGCGCTCGCGCCCCCCACTCCCACCCCCCACCTCCTCGTCGCGTCTTCGAGACGCCCGGTCAAAGCTCCGCGGGATGCCTTGCGAAGGGTGGAGGCTGTTGGGTGTTTTGGGGGAGGAAGGGGATGAGGGGGTGCGAAATGGAGGGAGAGAGAGACTCTGAGGGGTGTGGGGTGGGGGGTTGGGTGGGAGAGCGAGTGAGTCTCAAAGCGCTTTACACTGTAAAGTGTAGTGGCTGTGTGTTTGTGGGCGAAACGCGGCAGCCGATTGCGCACAGCGACGTCCCCACAAACAGTCGTGGGTTGAGTGACCAAAGTATTATTATTACTAAGGGATTATTACCCCCAGAAAGGCGATCCGCCAATCGATTAACGCTGCCGTGCGCAATCGGCTGCCGCGTTTCGCTCACAAAATACACAGTCAATTCACTTTACAGTGTATCCCGCGAAGCGCTTTGCGTTTCGGGGCGACGTTTCCACGGGGTGGTCGGGAGCTGCTGCCAGGGGAGCGTCGCCTTGACACCGTCTCTTCCACCCGTCTCCCAGCCACAGAGCGAGGCTCTCGACCGCGCCGACCGGCATCTATAGAGCGGCCTTCCCACCCCCGGACGGCGTCTCAGAGGGTCCCCAGCGGGGAGCGAGGGCTGGAGACAGATGTCACCCGTATCCTGAGAAATGGTTTCATTCTGGTCACCGTCTTGCTCGGGGTTGGGGGGGTGGGGGGGTAAGTAACTTTTGAGACGGTCCCTAAGGGGGGAGTGGGGCAGAGTTCTGCTTTGTTTTGCACTGTTCAGATTTCAATGACTTTTATGGGTATTTTATTGGGTTGCAATATTGTGCCCAATGCATTGGGGCTGCACAGGCGCAGTGCAGTGCAGTCAGAGCCGTTGCAATGCAGGCTGCACGGGTGCCCTGCAGCCCTGCCCTCGCCTGCCCCGTTACATAAGCAAACCGGCTCAGATTATTTCGGCCTCATTCACGTCGAGAGCTTTCACAGGGAGTCTCTCCCATTAGCGCCTCCGTTAGGATCGGTTAAGGGACGTCTCCTCCTGAACTCGGGCTCCGTGCAAAACAACCGCAAAGAATTTAATCCAAACATTCCTCCAATAATTCCACCTCCCTTCGGCTGAGTTTTTTTACGTGAATGTTTTATGTTCTTTTCTTTCCGCAGCCAACGAGTGATTAGGCGTGGAGCGAGTGGGAGGAGGGGAATTCGCCTCGCTCCAGGACGCTACCCCTCCGCGAAGGGCACTGCATAAATACTTCTCGTTGTCGCTCAGTTCCCCGACTCGAGTCAGACTTGAACGTAATGACAACCCTGGCATTTGATCGCGCCTCCGAGACGTCTCAAAGCGCTTTGCAGGATAATACCGTAAAGCGAATCGATCGGTGTATTTTCGGGGGCAAAATTGCGCACAGCAGCGTCCCCACGAACAGTTGTGGATTGAGTGACCAAATTTTTGTTTTTTTTGAAGGGCTTATTACCCCCCGGGAAAGCGATCCACCAATCGACTAACAACCGGGTTCCTACTTACCGCTGGGTAAACAGAGGCGCGTGCGAGGAGTGAGGAAGCCGGGCTACCCTTTCTTCCTGCCCGGGAATCAGTTGCGAGTTGAGTACTCTAACCACTACCCTAAAAAGGCTCCACTCGACATCCTCAAACTCTCCTTTCTCGGGGGTCCTTGTGTAGCTCTCGGAGACGCCGTCCGGTGTGAAGGGCGCCGCGCGAAACGCGAGTTGCGCTGTAGGAAACGCAAGACTGTTTCAGCAATCTGGTGACTCACTCCTGTGATGGGATAAATTAAATCAGCAAAGCCTTTTTAAGGCAGCCCCGACGTTTGGGGGAGTTTTGACATTTCTTTGCTCTCTCTCTCTCATGTTTATTTAATACAAATTCCCCGCCTCGTCTCACAGCTTTCTCCTTCCGAGGACAAGCCAACTATTGGCTCCCAAACGTCCTCCGTCAATGCGGCTCTGACACGGAGGATGGGGGGGGGGGCGCGGAATCAGCTCAGTGCTGGGTAGGGGGACATTTCCTGGCTATGCCTCTCCTCCCCATTGCCCCCACCCCCGTCTCCAGAGAGAGACTCCAGAGGTAGGAAAGGGAGAGTGAGAAACTAGAGATAGAGGGCGAGCGGCTTAAGAGGCAAAACAACTCTACATTCTGTGCCTCACTCACTCTTCTCCTCCACGAAATAAACACAGCAACTTACCGTAAAGATTCTCAGCTCCAGCACGTATTTCACTTCAGATTCCCAGAGACGAGGGGGGCAGAGGGAGAGGGGCGGACCGGGGGTGGGTGGGGGTGGGTGGTGGGGGGGGGGAAGGAGTGGATGGAGGGGGACGAAAGGGGGATGAGGACATAGGGAGAGAATGAACGTCCCTTTCAGAGGTCAGCAGTGGCTCCTGTTGAGTCAATGACTGAATGAGCTGTAATACCCATCCAGGCTGTGTGTGTGTGTCTGTGTGAGTGTCTGTGTGAGTGTTTGTGTATGTGAGTGTGTCTGTGTGTCTGTGTGAGTGTCTGTGTGAGTGTCTGTGTATGTGAGTGTGTCTGTGGGTGAGGGGAGGGGAACAAAGCAAGTTACCACAAGTGCTGGGCAGACATAGAGATCAGCTCTTTTAATCGTTCTTTTATACAGATCATTAAAAGGTATAAAGCAAATCAATTTCAAACACCCTAACCCACTCCTCCTCCTGAATCCTAATTACCCCCCACCCTCACCCCCCCAAACAAAGTGCAAAGAGAAGGTTAAGAGGTCGGGAGTGGGGGTGGGGGGTGGGGGGTGGGGGAGAGAGACAGCTCCCAGACATTTAGCAATTCCCAGTTTTAGGAGTTACACAGTCCCCCAACCCCCCCTCTCCGCGCCCCCCCCCCCCCCCGTCACTGTCCTCCTGTCCCTTATGTTCGCTCCACGCTGCGGGTCGCAAGGAGCAAACAAATTCCTGCCCCGGGAATGTCGGGAATCGGTGTTCCCACAGGGAATGTCAGACTCCCCAACCTACAGTATAAATGACCGCCAACCACACAGGCTTAACCCCCTCCCACTATTCCCCCACTAGGATGACACCCTAACCCCAACGTTCGTGTATGTTAGCCCTTCGGTCCTCCCCCCCAATTAGCGGAGATTAAAGTAACCCATTAAACCTCCCCCCCGCACTGGCGTTGTGTATAAAATGTTACACAATCCTTAAATAATTCAGAATAAATAAAAACAGCCTTATTAAAAGGCAGGATCATTGGGTTATATAAATCGCGCAGCAGAATTCCATTTTAAAACTGAACGGAAAGCCTGAAGGTTGAGACTTGGGACAGACAGTAAATGCCCTGGTCGCCCGGTGCTCACTGCGGTGGGAATTGTGGTAATAATAATAATATTCCTTGGCTTTGACACAGCACCTTTTCATGTCTTCGAGACGTCTCAAAGCGCTTCACAGGATTCACCGTGAAGTGGAGTGACTGTGTCGTTTGTGGGAGAAACGCGGCAGCAGCCAAATGCGCACAAACAATCATGGATGGAGTGACCACATTTTTTTTTTGAAGGGATTATTATCCCCAGAAAAGCGATCTGCCAATCGACCAAACAGAGGTAAAGAGAGGCGTGCGGAGTAAGGAAACTTGCCTAACGTTTCGCCCTGTGCAGTTGGGAATAGAACCCGGGTCCTCTGGGTTGGACTTACACGTTTTTAATAAGGCCTTAGTTACGTTCAAACATCTTGAAGTGCTGTCCAGGTATTCCTAATGACTGTGTATTTGTGTACAGTTTGTTCCCAACAACAGCCACAAAGGGGAAATGGGATGGAACGTAAACAAGAAGATAGACAAGAACGTAAACCATCCCTTCAGATAAGAACAGGATTTGGTCCTTTGGGATTCTTACACAGATGGGAATGGAAAGGGGGTGGGTGGGGGGGTGGGGGGGACTATAAGCGGCAGCTGGTGCTAATGATGGGGGTGGGGGTGTCTGATGGAGACTGATACACAACGGTAGCAATGTGACTCGGATTGTGCTATATTAAGAGGTTTAATTAATGAGGTGTCTGTCTGTCTGTCTGTCAGTCAAGCGAGTAGCTGAGCGCTGTAACCTGTATCGAACCTGCGCAAGTCATCAAACTCAGCAAGGAAACCGCTGCCGAAAACGGCAAAATCACGCTCCATATCTCCCCACCCCACCCCTCCCCCCCTCGCTCTCTCAGCCGCGCCCCCCTCCCCCACCCCAACCTGCCCCCAAATTAAACCCGGATTGAGAAAATTTCCCACAATCAATAAAACCGGCACAAATAGCCTGATGGCGGGGGAACCTTTGGGACAATTTGACGAGTGGTCGAGGACGAGGGTTGGAGTCGATGGTGAGGGGAAGCCCGGGGACTCGCACCCCGTAGCTTTGTGCTTCTCGGACGACAAGATTAAAAAAAAAACACAAGAAAGAGTTGTCCAGGAATAAATTAGAGAGAGGTTAACGGCAACAGAGAACAGGGGGCGGTGGGGATAGGAGGGGTGAATAGACCGGCAGGCAGAGAAGCACTGGGGGCTGCTGGCAATGCGTGATGAGTTACATTGCACCCCACCCCCCACCACACACACCCGCCCTCGTTTCTGTACAAACCAACAGGGGGAAACGTTCCCAGCCCCGATTTGCCACCCCACTCCCCACCCCCTCCAGTCCAGGTTGCCTAATACCCAAAGATTGCCGGCTGATATAATACTTGCATTTGATACAGCGCCTTATCTCGTCTTCTAGACGCCTCAAAGCGCTTCACAGAATATACAGTAAAGTGTAGTGACTGCGGACAGTCAAAGGCAGCACACGGTGTGCGGAGGTCACGTGCGTCTGTATCTGACGAGCTGTACAATTGGGGGGGGGGGGGAGAGGGTCTGCCCAGTCCTGAGGAGGTTTCACTGAGAGCGAGGGGAGGGGGAGTCCCCTCGCCCACCTTCACACACCCACCGGCTCCTTCAGATTGACGACAAAACTGTCGTGGTTGAATGTTCAAACTTCCACTTTGCGCAGACTCGATCTGCTAAACGACCCCCTGAAACACACACACAGAGAGTGAGGTCCTGATACACACACTCACACAAACAGTGAGACACATACACACACACAGTGAGACACCCACACACAGAGTGAGACAAACACACACACACACACAGAGTGAGACCATAGCGCACACACACACACAGTGAGTGAGGCCGGAGACACACATAGTGAGCATGAGCGGGAGTGAGTGAGTGTGGGGTGGAGGGAGAGAGAGAGTGTGTGGGGTGGAAGGGAGAGGAGAGTGTGGGGTACTGTTACCTGTGGCTGGGGGTTGGGATCAGGGGCTTGTAGAGTTGGGGAATCCTCCTGTTCAGCATTGGCTGCAGTGCATCCTTCAGCCGGTGGTAATTCCTCTCCAGCTCCCTGTGATATTCCTTCTGATCCGAGCCGATCAGACTCTTGTTCTTACGTAAAGCATCTTCACACCTGGGGTTAGAGAAAACTCGTCACACGAGACTCGGGGTAAATCGCACCCCACCCGATGTGATGAATACATGGATGAGGGTTTGGCGGCAACAGGAGAAGGCCATTCAGCCCCTCCAACCTGTTCCACCACTCTATAAGATCACAGCTGATCTGTACTTCAAATCCAATTACCTGCCCTCGCCCCGTATCCCTCAATACCCTGACCTAACAAATAGCTGTCGACCTCAGTCTTGTAGACATGAATGGATCCAGGAATAATCCACAGCATTGGGGGGGAAGAGAGAGAGAGAGTGTTCCAGATTTCCACTCGCCTTTGGGTGAAAAACTGCCTCTTGATCTCACTCGGACGCTATAATAATAATGATCCTTGCATTTGTCACAGCGCCTTATCACGTCTTCGACACATCTCAAAGCGCTTCACAGGATCTACTGTGTGTTTTGTGGGTGAAACGCAGCACACAAACCTCTTCATGAAATCCTTGAAGCAGAGACGCAGCTTGTTGTGATGCCGGAAGAGCTTTGGGTCGTCTGGAATTTCGGCCAGGAAAACCTGGGCGGCTTCCAGCGGCCCCTGAGAGAGATCCAGACGGGAGAGGCGAGGTTATTTGTCAACAGCGCTCGCATTACCAATCTGCACTAGGTCACAGCCCTGTAACAGCTCTGCAAAAACACTACCCAGAAATGTCCCACGAAGGAGCAGACAGTGAGTGAGAGAGTGAGTGAGAGAGAGAGAAAGTGAGAGAATGAGCAAGAGAGTGAGTCTGAGAGAGATTGAGAGAGTGAGAGAGTGAGACAGTGAGCAGTCACTGTGTAGAGCAGTAGTTTACTCCTGAAGCCATCCCACTCTGTCCCGCTCTGTGTCGAGTCCAGAAATCTCAATCCCACTAAATTCACTGCTCCACACTGTCCAACAACAATAACCCAGCACCCGCCTCTCATGCAGGATAGTGTCCCAGAGCGCTCGACAGTGGCGGAACATGACGCCAAGCTTGGGGGGAGGGAGGGGGGGGAAGGTAGGCACGGTCGAAGAAGAAGATCTTCAGGCGCAACCTGAAGATGGAGAAGGAAGGAAGGGTGTGTGAGCGGGTTGGTGGCAGTGTGTGAGCGGGCGGAGGGTGCCTGAGGGCGGCAGGCTGGCACGGACCTGGTTGACGGTGGTTCCCACACAGCCCTGCAGCACCATCTGCAGCATCTTGGCATCGGCTGGCTCCTGGTGGGTGGCAAAGGCCAACTCCTGTGTCTTCTTCTGCATATCCTCGATGGCTACCTCAATCGGGATCAGAATAATCTGCCGATAATAATAATATTCCTTGCACTTGATACAAGACCTTATCACGTCTTCGAGACGTCTCAAAGCGCTTCACAGAACATACTGTAAAGTGAATTGACTGTGTTTTTTGTGGGTGAAATGCGGCAGCCAATTGCGCACAGCAGCGTCCCCACAAACAGTCATGGATTGAGAGATCAAATTATTATTATTATTAAGGGATTATTAACCCCGGAAAAGAGATCCGACAATCGACTAACAACCGGGTTCCCATTTACTGCTCGGTAAACAGGCCTGAGTGTGGAGTAAGGAAACTTGCCCAACGTTTCGCCCTTCCGGGAAGTGAACCCAGGTCCTCTCGCTTGCGAGGCGAGCGCTCTAACCACTGAGCTACAGGGCTCCACAACATGGCGGGTGTTAACAGTGCAGATGACGAGGTAAACCTGGCTGCAGGACCTTCCTCTCACTCTGACTTAAAAGCAGCAGGAATTACGTTCTAGACATACGCCTCTCGTTTACAACACGTATGGTAACGGACGGAGACAGTCTAGGGGCTCGAACACTAGCCACCGGGGAGCAATGAGACTTCTCGAAGATGTGATAAGGCGCTATATCAAATGCAAGGATTATTATTATTATTAATTATTAATGCTCTCTGCGCTACCACCCAATAAACAGGTGGTGGCAATGCAGAGCTCACTGACGGTTCCTCTAAGCCCCGCAGGAAGGTTAGGCACAGAGAGGAGGCCATTCGCACCATCATCCAGTGCCTGGCACTTCTCGGGTTTATAATGCAGACTTTAATCTGTTTGTAACCACAATACTGCGATAAGCATCTTTGTACACGGACACACTGTGGTGAGGGGAGGGTCAGTCAGTGTGAAGGGTGGGTGCAAGTGATAATAATATAAATAGTAACAAATAACAGATAATAAAATAAATATTAACAATAACAATCCTCGCATTTGATGCAGCGCCTCATCACGCCTCCGAGACTCCTCAAAGCCCTCCACAGGATACGCTGTAAAGTGTAGTGTCTGTCTGTTTTGTGGGCGAAACGTTTATTCAATGACCCAACGCTGCCCACACCGTCACCGTGCTTAACACTCGCCTACCCACATGGTCACTCACCCAACGTTTCGTCCCGCCTGGGCGGGTGGGAATCGAACCCATGTCCCCTCGCTTGCGAGGCGAGCGCTTGAACCACTGAGCTACACGCAAGGCTTAGTATTATTACTACGACTGTTACTCGCCTCCTCTTTCTGGATGACGTTGATGCGGGTTTTGATGTAGGGGAAGGCGTGGGAGGTGGTGAGGATGGTCTTGCGTTTGTACTGCTCGTGAAGTTCCCCGTGAGCGCGGCCGTCCAGCGTGAAGGGCGTGCAGTACATGAAGCAGCGCAGGTTGTAGTTCTTGTCGAAGTAGGTGATTCGGTCCTTCATCTCATACGTGTCAAAGTAGGCCTCCACGTATGTGATCTGTATGTAGGCCTGGAACCAGGACAGAACAGGTGCTCAAGCCCATAGTGAAGGTATCACATTCTCACACACTCACTTGCTCGCTCGCTCACTCACTCACTCACTTGCTCGCTCACTCACTCACACACTCGCTCGCTCACTCACACTCTCGCTCGCTCGCTCACTCATTCACAAACAACAACTTGTGTTTACATTGCGTCCCTGAGAGCTTGTCAGGCCTCTCTGCCCCCACCCTTTGGAACTCCAACTCACAGTCCTTTCGCATCGCTCTCCGCTCCCTCGCCTCCTTCAAGACACGTCTCAAGACCCTCCTCTTCAACCGCACCTTCGGCCAGCCTCCCACCCCTACCCTCCCCGATCCCAACCCCAGCTCAGGTCCAAAGCCCTGACTGTCTTGGGTGCCTCGTCAATGTAATGTTGTTGTTGTATTGCTGTGGGCTCCTCACGCCCCACGTTAAAGGGACGCTACCCTGCAAGTTGTTGTTCCGAGGCGCTCACCTTGTTCGGATCCAGTTTGGTTTTGTCCACGGGGTTGGAATCTTTTATCATGACCGCTACCTCCTCACCGAACCGGTCCCGGTAAAACTCCTGCCGTGACAGAGAGAGAAACAGTTTCAACACGAGAGTCCACAAGCTGCGCTCCCAAAGCTGCCTGTGTTGGGGGCGGAGGGAGGGAGGGTTTGAATAAATCAAGTCTGTCACCTGCAGCTGAAGCACAGGGAAGAGCGGGGAGACACTAGGCAGAGAGTGTCACAGCACCTCACAGTGAGGTAACCTCACAGCACTTGGGGAACATCTCTCTATTTCTTAGAGGGAAATGTGAGCACATATACGGAAGCTCACAGGTTAACACAAGAAAGCGGAAATCTTTGCGGCTAACAGCACTCCGAATTAAAGGAAATCGCTTAAAATAATATTAAAGGGAAAAGGGGAAGAGAGCAGGGGAATGGGAGGAGAGATGATAATCCTTAACATGTCTTCGAGAGGTCTCAAAGCGCTTCACGGGATAAAGACTGTAAAGTGAATTGACTGTGTGTTTTGTGGGCAAAATGCGGCAGCCAATTGCGCACAGCGATGTCCCTCAAACAGACGTGGATTGAGTGAACAAATTCTTATTTATTTTGAAGGGATTATTACCCCTGGAAAATTAATCCGCTAATCGACTAACAACCGGGTTCCTACTTACTGCCGGGTAAACAGAGTGTGTGTGTGGAGTAAGGAAATTTGCAAAAAGATTTCACCCTGACCCGTCCGGGAACTGAAACCGGGTCCCGCTCGCTTGTGAGGCGAGCGCTCTAACCACTGAGCTACAGGAAACTCCAGTGGTGGAGCGAGCACCAGCGCAGACACCGCGTTGCGGAGGGTACCCAGCGCACTGACCTCCAGTCTGTAGGAAATCTCTGCCAGTTTGGTGATTGAGGGCTCTTTGTACACAAACTCCTGCTCGTCCAAGTCTCCGAACTTGCAGCCGTAGAAACCAACTCGGAAATATGTGCCGAACATTCTCTTCACACGCTGTGGGCACAGGGAGGAAGGGAAGGCACTGGGTTACCTGCCTGTGTGTACACTCACTGCCCTCCCCTCACTGCAGTTTGTTCAGTGACAGACCACAACTAGTCCAGTAAACAGCAGATAAACAGATCATCGCAGGGCAGCCAAAGGGCTGCTTTATACCCGAAGTGTTTGATGTAAAGATTATTATAATAATCCTGGCATTTGATACAGCGCTTCATCACGTCTTCGGGACGTCTCAAAGCGCTTCACAGGATACACTGTAAAGTGAATTGACTGTGTATTTTGTGGGCGAAACGCGGCAGCCAATTGCGCACAGCAGTGTCCCCACAAACAGTCGTGGATTGAAGTGACTGATTTATTATCATCATCATCAAACGTGTTGCAGAATAGGACAGCACGGGTCATGGCACCGATATACGCCGTACGGTCAGATCAGCGTGGCTTTAGCTGAACAACCTTTGAGCTTCGTCAGAAATACCAGCCTGTGGACACGCTCCATCGTTGATGAGATCAGAGAGAAACAAGCAGGCCGAGTGAGCGCAAAAGGGAGAGTCAATTGGAAGAACGTGATAAGCGAGCAGTCATTGTCGGCTCATTTCTCCCCCCGACTTTCATCATCAATTAAGAAAACGATTCACAATAATTAATATTAAAGGCAGAGACTTACCCCAGGTTGAGGTGAGGGGAGAGTGATTGATCAGCGGCAAGCGGTATAGGAGAGAGAGAGAGACAATCATCAACTCAGACACTTCACCGTGTCCGGCATGCAGGCTCTCTTGGGAACCCGGTTATATCCGAGAGTCAGGATAGCAATTTAATTTGGTTGAGCCATCCCCTCCCTTCCCCACCCTTCACACACACGCACACTCACCAATTGAAATAAATAAATAATATTAAATCCGTCACTCAATCCATGACTGTTCGTGGGACGCCGCCGTGTGCAATTGGCTGCTGCGTTTCACCCGCACAATATACCGTCAATTCAATTTACAATTTACATTTCAAAAGACGTCTCGAAGACTTGATAAGGCGCTGTGTTAAATCCACAAACGTCCTGCGTCCCACAAACAGTCATGGATTGAGTGATCAGGGTATTACTTTATTTTGGAAGGGGTCATTACCCCCGGAAAAGCAATCCGCCAATTGACTAACGGGTTTCTAATTAGTGATAGGTAAACAGGGGTGTGTGGGCGGAGTAAGGAAACTTGGAAAAACATTTTGCCCCGACCTGACCCACCGGGAATCGAACCTAGGTCCTCTCGCTTGCGAGGCGTGTGCTCTGACCACTGAGCTACAGGACTGCAATGGCCACAGCATGTCCCTACCCCACACAGCTACAGCGTCGCACGCTCAAAACATTTCAAAATTGATTAGAATTAATTTATTTTGGGGGGGGGAAAACATTTTTTTTTCTATCTTTCTTATCAGACAGCAGAAATTTGGTCCGAGGCAGACAAACAGCACAGACGTTTACAGCGCAGAAGAAGGCTTCCCTTTGCTTCTGTTGTGAAAGTAGCAGAAGCTGGAGAGGAGATGAGAGCACAGGAGAGGAGGTTGCTGAGCAGGTGCCGTGTTAGGTAGTTAGCAGACACACACAGCAGGTAGAGAGGAGATGGCGGAAGAGATGTGTGGGGCAGCTTTCCACCACGAACGGGAGTGTTAACATCAAGCCAAGAAAACAACACTCAGACAAGACAATATTAGTTTACAAACATCCAACAGGCAGCCCTCTGGATTGAGCGACACCACCCAGCCATGCTGTAAATAATAATAATAATCCTTGCATTTGATACGGCGCCTTTTCACGTCTTCGAGACATCTCAAAGCGCTTCACAGAATAGACTGGAAAGTGAATTGACTGTGTATTTTGTGGACGAAATGCAGAAGCCAAACATGCACAGCAGCGTCCCACAAACAGCCGTGGATTGAGTGACCAAATATTTTTATCTTTCTTTGAAGGGATTATTACCCCCAGGAAAGCGATCTGCCAATTGACTAGCAACAGGGTTCCTACTTACTGCTGGGTAACCAGAGGGGTGTGTGCGGACTAAGGAAACTTGCCTAACGTTTCTCCCCGCCCGGGAATCGAACCCAGGTCCTCTCGCTTGCGAGGCGAGTGCTCTAACCACTGAGCTACAGGACTCCTACATTTATTAGGATATCTGTTAGGTCAGGGTATCAGGCCTTACGGGGCAAGGGGTGGGTAATTGGACTTGAGGTACAGATCAGCCATGATCTTATAATGGTGGAACAGGCTCTAGGGGCCGAATGGCCTCTTCCTTTTTCACAAGCAGTTCTCACCTACTTCTTGCCATCAGTTCATTAACAGACACCCCCACCCACCCCGCCCTATAGCTCCTCTTCTCCCCCCTCTCACACAGACAATCGAGGTGGCTGCTCGTGACACTGGACCCGATTAGTAAACGGGAACGTTCCCATTCAGTGTGTGCAGCCTCCTCACACCCCACACACAGCCCCCCCCACCCGCCCATCACATGCAAAAGCTTCCATCACTGCAAAACAAGGCAAACCAGAGAGTGCATGCAGCCTACCTCCCAGCCAGAGCTCTGCACACGGACAGAGGGGGGAAGGGAAGGGAAAGACAAAGCAGAAGAGAGAAAATTTACTCAATCACCGAACGAGCACTTGAACACCAAGCTGCAAAACACAGGAACAGCCGGGAACGGGCGCAGAGAGATCTTATACCCTGTGTGCGCAGCGACCTGCTCAGTCATTGGGTGGGGGTGGTGCGGTCGGTGGCGGGTGGTGTGTGGGATGGGGGCTTGTGGGGAGGTGGGATGGGGGTCGGGGGAGCAGTGGGGAGGGGAGGGTGTGTGTGTATGGAGGGGATGTTCGGTTAGTGGGGGTGAGGTGTAGAGTGGGGGTGACGGGTGTATGTGTGTGTGTGTGTGTGTGTGTGGGGGGGGGGTGGGAATAGAGCGGGAGTTGCGGTATGTGGGATGAGGGGGTTTGCGATGGGTGGGGGAGCAGTGGGGGGTTAGGGAGGGTGGGGGAGGGAAGGGTTGCACTAGGCAGGGAAGCGATACATCAGGGAGGGGGATAGAGAGCCAAGTAGGGAGAGGATGACACTGAGCTTTAGCTAACGTTGGGGGTTGAGGCTCTGTACATCTGTGGCTTCGGGGCAGGAAGAGGAAGTTGATGGAGAAAAGGAAGTGGGGAGGTCAGGAGGGGAAAGTCACAGGGTGCAAACTGGAAAAGGGGAATTAGGGACCTCCTCACCGACCTCTGAACCCATCACCCCCCACCCCCCCATCAAATACCCGTCCAGTAACCGTTAGGGCTCGTCTCCAAATAGCAACGATTTATTGAAGCGAGAGAGGTTGTTGAGGGGAGTCTGATGGGCGCTGTCCAATGGCGGGTGGGGTGGAGGCAGATGGGGGTTTAATCCTCCAACGTGGGAGGCTGCCGGAGGCACTTAAACCAAAACGGATTTATGGTCTGGATGGTGAAGTTGTTTTTGTATATTTCGATTGGAAACTTCTCCCGAAATTTTGTTTTAAATGGCATGGAATCAAGTTAGCTCGGGGCTGCGAGTCTGGCGCAGATGTGGAGTGTGATTACATTTCCCTCCCCTGTGCTCGCTGTAATGCATACCCTGCGCTCAGCCCCTCGCTCAGGGATCTGGCCATGTTCTCGTTTTGAGTTCACAGCACAGGACACTGAACGCAAAGCTCCTCGAGGCTTAAAAACTCCCGGAGCAGTGCTGAGATCCTCTCCTCTCCTCCCTACCTCTCCGACCTGCTTACCCCCCCACCCCATCCTGCTCCCCCACCCTCTGCCTCCGCTCTGCTGCCCCCCGCCCTCCTGTTCGTCCCTCGTCCCCTCCGCTCCGCCATCGGTGGCTGTGCCTTCAGCCACCATGCCCCGAAACTCTCTCGCTCAACCCCTCCACCTACATTTAAATCTCGCCTAAATGCCTTTCTTTTTGATCGTGCTTACGGTCACCGCCTCCCCCTCCCTCCTCCCCCTGACTCGGGGTCAGACTCCCCCACTGTCAAGCACTTAGGGAACGCTACCCCAGGTGAGGAGCGCGGTGTAAATACAAGTTGTTGTTGAGTTCAGGCCCGTAGCAAGGTCTGAGGATTCCGGGAGCCTTTCTCTGCCCAATGGGCAATACACAGAGACTGCTGCAAGTTGTGTTTGAATAGAGGTTCGCTCCCGTTACCCCGGCGTGCATCGCCTGCTCAGGGAGGTGGCCACAAAGTCACCAGGGAATAAGCTGGTTATTATTACAAAAGCAGAAGCAATTGACGTAGGGAAGGGAGCTGCAGTCTTAGAATAGAATTCTATTTTTATTACTTATGTTTGCTGTGTATGTGTATGTGTGTGTGTGTGTGTGTGAGGCCTGGATATGGGCTCTCAGCAGAGAGCACAGTTAACATAGCAATGCACAGCACTCCACCCCAGCTGTGACTGCCAGGCCTTCCTCTCTTTGCTGGTGCTCAGCACGATCTTGTGGTGGGATGTGGAAGTTCATCACTGCGGGGCCCTAGTGCTTCTTAGGCTGAGAGTTGAGGGGAGGCGAGGCGTTGACGGGAAGGGGAGGACTTGTGGGGTTGCGAGGGGAGGTGTTGAGGGGAGACGAGGCATTGAGGGGAGGCAAGGAGTTGATGGGAGACATTCAGATATAAAGACACACATACGTACACACACACACACACGGCTGTGAAGAGGATACCTGGTTGGAGATCTTGTTGAAGGCATCCTGCAGTTTGCCGTGGATGGTGGACAACCTCTTACTGTCCCGGTTTGCCTCATGGATTGGAATCAGGATTTTGTAAACCTCGTTCACAGCTTCATACATGCCAGCCTGGCAATAAACAACAACAGCAGCAACACATTACATTTACACGGCACCTTTCACGTCAGGAGGACGTCCCAAGGTGCTGGATTGTCAGTCAGGGATCCGCACCCGAGCTGGTGGTTGGGATCAGGAGGGGTGAGGGGTGGGGGTGAGGGTAGGAGGGTGACCAAAAACGGGTTTTGGTCGAAGAGGAGGGTCTGGAGACGTGCCTTGAAGGAGGCAAGGGATGGGGGCGAGGCAGATGGTTTGTGGGATGGAGTTCCAGAGGGTGGGGGCAAAGAGGCTGAAGGCCCGCCCGCCTGTGGTGGTGGGGCCGGCTGGTGCTGGGCCGGGGACGTGCAGCAGGCTGGAGCTCGCTGAGGGGATTCAAGTTAATCATAACGCCCTCCACCGTGACTGGCCCGAGAGAAGACATTACTTGCTGGGAGGTGGGGGAGAGGGAAGCAAACTCCTTCATACCACGACCGTTTGTGGGGACGCTGCTGTGCGCAATTGGCTGCCATGTTTCGCCCACAAAATGTACAGTCACTCCACTTTACAGCGCTTTGAGACTTCTCGAAGATGTGCAAATGGCGCTATATCAAATGCAAGGATTATTATTATTATTATTACGACAGCTAGCTAACTCGGGCAGAGAAGCTCAGCAATGGGACGTCACAAAGCGCTTGCTCAGGTACCATAGTGAAAGAGGCAGCTGCTTGCTCCAGTAATCCCACCAGCCCGGCCTCGGAGAAGTATTTCCCGGTGCAAATCCCCTCCTCATCGGGAGATACCACATCGTCAGACACGGCCGATTCCTCCAGAACGTTGGACGAAATATTCTTCAGGGGGAGAAACACAGGGGGAGAAACACAGAGACCGTCAATAAATAAACACCCGTGACTTCTATTAATGCGATTTGAAAATAACCACACACCCCACACACTTACAGCACCTCCCCACACATACACAGCCCCACCCCCCACACACACACACAGAACCCTCCCACACACAGCCCCCCCACCCCACCCCACACACACACACACCTGGAAGCTGACACAGCCCACGGGGAGGTAGCGACAATCCTCCAGCATGTTGAGGTACTCGGCCACCAGAGCTGCCGAGTGTACGAGGCAGTGGGCGGCCTCCGCGTGGTTGGCTCGCTCCGAGTGCTTCCCCGCCATGTTCTGTAGCCACGTCAGCCGCAGGTCAGGGGACGTCTGGTAACCCTTAGCAATCCTGAGAGGAGAGGAGGTCGCGTTACCCCGGTAACGGGTACCAGCCAGACTTACCCCAGCAACGAGTTGTGGAGTCCTGTGGCTCGGTGGTTAGAGAGCACTCGCCTCGCAAGCGAGAGGACCTGGTTCGATTCCCGGGCAGGTCGGGGCGAAACGTTGGGCAAATTTCCTTAATTCCTTCAATAAATAAATACTAATAATTTGGTCACTCAACCCACGACTTTGTGGGGACGCTGCTGTGCGCAATCGGCTCCCGTGGTTTTGCTCACAAAATACACAGTCAATTCACTTTACAGTGCATTCTGTGAAAGGTTTTGAGACGTCTCGAAGATGTGATAAGGCGCTGTGTCAAATGCAAGGATTATTATTATTATCGGCTTGTGAAACGGGCAGAGAGTGAGATGGTGGGGAGAGGGAGAGTGAGCTGGTGGGTCTGGGTGATTGCTATGGTAACACTCTGTGGGTACCTACCTGTACATCAGGTCCGTCAGCATCTCGGGATCCTCCTGGTGCTCCTTCATCTTCACTGTGTCCGTCAGGATCATGTGCAAGTTAAACACCAGGTCCTGTACCTGAACAGGTAAGCAACAGCTCGTCATTACTGACCCCTGAGGCACAGTGTACAACAGGTGTACTCACTGCACCTGCTCTAAACACACCTGCCCCGCACCTGTTCACACATCTGCTGAAACTTCACCATCTCTCACATCTGCTCACACAGCTGCCCCCCTCACCGCCTACACCTGCCTCACATCACACCTACTGAAACCTCACCTGCTCCCACACACCTGGCCTCCCCACACCTGCTCAAATCTCCCCTTCCCCCCCACACACACACACACCTACTCCTAGACATCTGCTCACGCCTGACCTGCCCCCTGCCCCCCACCACCTGTTTACGCGGACTCACAGCAATGTAGTTGGTGCTGTACCTGCTCGGGGAAGGTGCTGTCTCGCAGTTCGAGGTCCTCCTCAGCGTACGTGAGGATTGTCTTCAGTGAGCGACGGAGGAATTCCTCGTTGAAGTTCTGGGAGGTTCCCACCAGCGAGGAGAGCGACATCGTCACCTGCATCTTGACCCGGGCAAAGTTCTGGATCAGATCGAAACGTTAGTTACTGAGGTGACAGTGAACAGCAACAACAACTTACATTCATATAGCGTCCTGCACGTGGGGTAGTGTCCCTGCGAGCTTGTCAGTAGCGGAGTCTGACCCCGGTCATTAATAATAATAATCTTTGCATTTGATACCTATCACATCTTCGAGACGCCTCAAAAGCGCTTTACACTATACACTGTAAAGTGAATTGACTGTATATATTTATAAATGTGGGCGAAACTTGGCAGCCAATTGGGCACAGAGACGTCCCACAAACAGCAGTGGATTTGAATGACCGAATTATTATTATTTTTCAATTTTATTTATTCATTTATTTTTGGAGGAATTATTTAACCCCAGAAAAACGATCCCCCAATCGACTAACAACCGGGTTCCTACTTATTGCTGGCTAAACAGAGGCGTGAGTGTGTGTGTGTGTGTTTGTGAAACTTGCCTAAGTGTGTGCCCTGACCCTGCTCGAGTGGGAATCCAACCCGGGTCCTCTCGCTTGCGAGGCGAGCGCTCTAACCGCTGAGCTACAGGACTCCAGTATACAGCGGCTTCTCGGTTAGCTTGTGCGGAGTGCTGAGGCTATGTGCCTACAACAACTTGCATTTACATAGTGCCCCTCACCCTGTGCAGCGGTTCCAGAGCACTTAAGACTCCACGGCTCCAAGCACTGGACAGTGACCTGCTTGTGGGGTGTTTCGACTGCGGTCCAACAATGTACTTACGTTGCCGATCTCAAAGTTCTGCCTCATCAGAAGGTAGAGCGAGGCACTGGCGTGGGCCCGGATGGTGCTCACACTGCTGCTACAGTGTCGTAATAGCCTGAGACACAGGTCAGCACACAGCTCCGTGTCCTCCTCAAACAGCATCTCCGGGAACTGCGAGAGGGATTGGGAGAGAGGATTGGGGGAAAAAGGGAGGGGGAGAGCGTGGGGGTGTGGGGGAAAAGGGGGGCGGGAAAGAGAGAGAGAGAGAGATTGAATGAGAGAGGAGAGAGTGTGTGAGAGAGAGGTGAGAAAGTAGGAGAGAGAGAGAGGGACTGTTTAGGGTTAGGTTTGACAGGTTGATTGACTCTACCCCCGCGATGTCTCCAGGGTGGGGTTGGGGCAGACACAGTAACGCTCTTGGGGCTGAAGACGGACTTACTTTGAAGACGACCGAACGTTGAGTGGCGAAGCAGTGCTGTAGGAAGAGAGCGCTCTGGTTACAGGCCATGCTGTGCAGGATGACTTTCAGGACGCTGCTCAGCACACTCTCCTTGGTCTCCGTCACCATGACGGTCTACACAGAGAGAACAGTATTAGACTCTGTCACACTCCGTCTCCCTCTATCCCTCCCTCCGCCTTATCCCTTCCTTTCTCTCCCCATCTTCAGGTCGTGCCCGCTCAGTGTGATGGCTTTACCTGAACAATGATCTCAAGGACATCTAAAACCACCAGGTTGGCCTCTGTGACCAGGTTCCCATCCACCAGGGCATCGTGCTCCATCTCTGCCTTGGTTCTACATCAGACAGACAGAGAGAGAGAGAGAGAGAGAGAGGTAGCAACGAGCTCTGGCACACACAGACATGTGGAGTTCTGTAGCTCAGTGGTTAGAGCGCTCGCCTCATAAGTGAGAGGACCTGATTCGATTCCCGCCCGGTCAGGGTCAGGGCGAAACGTTGGGCAGGTTCCCTCTCACACGCACACGCCTCTGTTTACTGAGCAGTAAGTAGGAACCCGGTTGTTAGTCGATTGGTGGTTGCTTTTCGGAGGACAATAATCCCTTCAAAACAAAGGACGTCGCTGTGCGCAATTGGCTGCCACATTTTGCCCACAACATACACAGTCACTACACTTGACAGTATATCTTGTGGAGCGCTTTGGGACGTCTCGAAGACGTGATAAGGCGCTGTATCAAATAGAAGGATTATTATTATTATTAAGCAGTTGATGCTGTAGAAAGTCAGATTCTTGTCAGTCACTGTGGTACAGGAGCCCAGTCAGGAATGGGATAATCACCCAACAACTTTCATTTACACAGCGCCCCTCACGCTGGGTAGCGTCCCAGATCGCTTGACAGTGGCGGAGCACGACGCCAAGCCGGTGGGAGGGAGGGGAGAGGTGACCGTAGGCACGATCGAACAGGAAGGTCTTTAGGCGTGACCTAAGATAGGGAAGGAGCGAGGCGGAGGGATAGAGAGTGAGACAAGAGTTTTGTGGTGTAATGGCTGAAAGCGTGGGTGCCGATGGTGGAACGGAGGGAGCGAGTGACATGCAGAAGGCCAGATGGTGCCAGTCAGCCGGAGGCAGTGGGTAGTGGGTTGGGGGTTGAGCAAGTCAGAGAGGTGAGGAGGTGCAGCATTGCAGAGGCTCTCTCGCTACTTACTTGTCCACTTTGTCAGCATTCTGCCTCCAGTGGGTGATGTTCTTCCTCCACCGCACGTTCTCCTGGCTCCCGAAAGGACTGCGCTCTGAAAGATTGGAGAGAGTCAGACTCCGAACGCTGAGATCCTCACCCTGAACAGCGCCCCTCCCCCACACGTTAGCCAGGAGGGACAGTGAACCCCCCACCCACACACAGGAGCCCACCTCCCTACCTCGGCTCCGGCGCACCATCTCCTGCCGAGCACCGATGGTGCCCAGTATCACCTCCTCCAGCCGCGCCTTCATGTCCTGCGATTTCTTAAATGTCAGGCTGTTGATCCGTTCAAAGGTCTTCTTCCCCTGACCCAGCAAGAGAGAGAGGGAGAAAATAACATGAGAACCACATTAAATTCCCTTCTTAAACAGTGCCAATGCTGGACTCAGTTATAGATTTCCATAATAATCCTTGCATTTGTTACAGCGCCTTATCATGTCTTCGCGACGTCTCAAAACCCTTCACACAATATACTGTAAAGTGTAGTGACCGTATATTTCGTGGGCGAAACTCAATACCCGGCCCCCTCCATCCTCGCTCCATTCTGTGAAGCGCTTTGAGATGTCACAGAGACGTGATAAGGCGCTATCTCAAATAATAATTATTATTATTACCCCGACAATGACCAGAGGATCTCGAATTGTTCCACGGAATTGATCTGAGTATTTTGAACAAAGACGGCGCTGATATTAATGGTCTAAAGATTGGGACTGGCTGTATTGCAGTGTTCGCCAGCCAAATTATCCGATATCACAGAACCAAACCAGGTCAAGTATCGCAAAAGTGTAGATCACAGTGGAGCCCGAGTCTGTCTCTGTCTGTCCCCCCTCCCAGACCTGGGACATCTGGTTAACCCTCTGCCGTAATCCTCGAGCGAAGGGAAAAGCTGTCCCACTCTCCCCCGTAGAGGGAGCTGCGGCCCCCGGGGCCTCGCCTCTCGCTTACCTTGTACTCGAAGCAGGAGACGCAGAGAAAGAGCAAATCCAGCAGGCGGTTCAGCTGGAAGACGGACAGGTCGGTGAACCACTTCTGCAGGACGTCCTCGTCGCAGTTCTTCAGCACCCACAGGAAGCTGATCAGGAGGATGCGGCTGGACTCTGCCGAGAGTGTGGTGTACTGGCGCCCGGGCTGCGGGGAGATAAGGGACCGTGTTAAGGCTCTGGCCCACTCTCAGGGGAGGGGAACATCATCAATCGATCGATCAATCGGTGGAGATGAGGAAATGCTCTTCATGCACAAGATCGAAAGGAAACTGTCCTGTTTCTGGAGCCAAATAATAAATCTAAGTTTGTGGGGACGCTGCTGCGAGCAATTGGCTACGTTTCGTCCACAAAACACACAGTCACTACACTGTACAGTACATTCTGTGAAGCACTTGGAGATGTCTCGAAGACGTGATGAGGCGCTGTATCGAATGCCAGGATCATTATATATTAAATCTGCCGGTGTGACATTCTCGTTGTGCCCTGGAGCCGGCACTCACCATGCCGGGAAGCTGGAAGGGAGAGCTCCTGCTGGGCTGAGGGACGGGGGAGCCGGCGATTGCCATGGCGATGGACTGGCTTATCATGCTGCCGCTCTCCATCTCCACGTCGTCAGCGAATGAGGCGGCCAGGCGACCTTTCTGATTGCCGTTCTCTGCGGGGGAAGGAAGCACAAGCGCTCGTTCATTATTCGGGGACGTTCCTCCTGCAAAACACGCAGTCCCTACACTTTACGGTATATTCTGCGAAGGGCCGTGAGACGTCTCGAAGACGCGAAAAGACCCCGCCCTCTGAATCTCCACCTCGCTCCCTCCGTTGCCTCATTTAAGACACGTCTCAAGACCCTCCTCTTCGGCTGTGCCTTCGGTCACCCTCCTACCCTCTATCCTCCCCACCCCCTCCTGGTCCCAACCACCAGCTCGGGTGCGGATCCCTGACTGTCCAGCGCCTTGGGACGTCCTTCTGACGGGAATGTAATTTGTTGTTGTTGCTATATCAAATGCAAGGATTATTATTATTATAACATTTAAGAGTCAAACACACCCTTTAGGGAGTGACCTCACGCGCATTTTGTTGCCGCAAAACAGCGAGAGCTTCACTGACTGCCTCACCTGTGAAATCGTAGAGCTGTGGCAAGGTCTCCATCACGATGGCAATCAGGGGCAGGTAGAGTTTGGCCACGTGGGCTTTGACCTCAGGGTCTGTGTAACGTGGGTCAGCATCGTGGCTGCAGATCAGGTTGTGGATGGCACTGATTGCCTTCTTGTGCAGGAAGAACAAGCTGGTGAAGAGAGAGAGAGAGAGAGAGAGTGTGGGGGAGTGTCAGGAAAGAGAGATTTGTGTGTGAGAGAGAGAGAGAGAGATGGAGAGAGAGAGAGGGAGAGAGATAGAGAGAAAGGGAGGGACAGAGAGAGGAGAGGATTAGGACCTGAGCTTGGGGGAGGGTGGGAGGGGAGGTGTGGAGATTTGGGATCAGGAGGGGGAGATAGAGAAATGAGAGAACGTTTACCCCTCCACGTCGGGCTCCAGTACCAGGGCGAGCTCGCTCAGCAGTAATCCCACCAGGAAGTGCTGTTGCCGGAAAGGGACGGACATCTCAAACATGTTGGCGATCTTCTGGTCTTGTACCAGTGTGGAGAAGCCGGAGCTCTACAGGACAAAGCACAGAACAGGCGGCAATTATTAATGATAATAATAATCCTCGCATTTGATACAGTATCTTGTCAAGTTTTCGAAACGTCTCAAAGTGCTTTACAGAATATATTGTAAAGTGAATTGACTGTATATTTTGTGGGCGGAACACAGCAACCAATTGTGCACAGCGACGTCCCACATTACAGCCATGGATTGAGTGACCAAAGTATTTATCTATTTATTTGTTTGTTTGGTTGAAGGGATTATTACCCCCGGAAAAGCGATCCGCCAATCGACTAACAACTGTATTCCTACTTTCTGCAAGGTAAACAGATGCTTGTGTGTGTGGATTAAGGAAACTTGCCCAATGTTTTGCCCGGGGGAGGGGGAAGGAGGGGAGCTGAGATGCTGAAGTAGAGAAAGCCTTACCTGGGAGGTAGCTGAGGAGACAGACGGAGAGGGAGAAGCAGGAGGGGACAGCGTGCTGCACGGGAGGTTTAATGTGACGTAGTGCTCGTGGCTGCAGATTACGCGGATGAAGTCCAGACGCAGGGCGATGAGGGCATTTGGATTCTGTGACGTCTGCAGTTTATTACTGACCTGAAACAACCACAACAAGTTACATTTACACGGCGCCTTTCACGGCAGGAGGAAGTCCCAAGCCGCTAGACAGTCAGGGATCTGCACCCGAACTCGGGTTTGGGATCAGGAGGGGTGGAGGGCGGGAAGGGTAGGGGTAGGAGGGTGACCGAAGACTCGGTCGAAGAGGAGGGACTTTAGACAGGTCTTGAAGGAGAAAAGGGAGTGAGGGAATGAGGCAGAGGGACTGTGGGATGGAATTCCAGAGGGTGGGGGCAGAGAGGCTGAAGGCCTGACCACCGATGTTGGGGCAGACAAGGCGGAGGACTTGAAGCAGGCATGAGTGGTTCCCATCCTGTATCCTCGAACAGCTTCCCACCCTCCGACCTCCTGGAGTGTCAGAAAACAACGCCCTCCACCAGGGTAGCGTCTCAGAGCACTGAGCAGTGGCGGAGCCTGACTCCGAGCCGGAGGGGGTGGGGGGGGGTAGGTGGCTGTAAGCACGGTCGAAGAGGAAGGTTTTCAAAGCTCCCTCCCACCCACCACAAAGAGCTGCCTGAGGTGCAGTAATGGGACTCTGCCACCAGGCGGCGCCACACACACTGCAATCACATCCCAGAGTGTGCGATACAATCATATCCCAGAGTGATATCCGGAATTCTCTCCCCCCAAACCAGGGCTGAACAGGTGGAATTTCCTCCCCTGATATAATCACCCAGCACCACTGAGGTAAGAAAGACTAGGAGGGAGCCATATAGCTTGTCGCACAAACCCCGCACCCCCACCCCACACCCCTGAAATATATTTTATTTACCTGCTTGTAGTAAGTGCGAATGAGACTGAACACATATCCCCTGTCCATCAGTGAGAGCAGGTCATTGAGGAAGAAGGCCAGGCTGGTGTTCAGACGCTCCACCAGCTCCACATCCTGGGAAACACACACACACACACGCGCAGGAAACGGACACGTCAAGACACACTGTATGTAACATAGTGCATTTAACACTGACTCACACACATTCTCTGGGGACCCTGGAAAAGCTAACCAACAGCAAAGAAATGACATTTACACAGCGCTTCTCATGTCAGGAGGCCCTGGACAGCCAGGGACTTGCACTGGCGCTGGTGTTCGGGATCAGGAGGGGGTGGAGGGTAGGGGTAGGAAGTTGGTCGAAGGCACGGTCGAAAAGGAAGATCTTGAGACCAGTCTTGAAGGAGGCGAGGGATGAGGCGGAGGGACTGTGGGATGAAGTTTCAGAGATTGGGGGCAGAGAGGGTGAAGGTCCACCCGCTGATGGTGGGGGTGGGGCGGGGCAAGGGCGTGAAACAGTCCGGAACACGCTGAGCGGAGGGAGAGGACAGGTTGGGAGGGGGTTAGAAGATGACGTTGGTACCTTGTGGAACCTGCTGACAATGTCCGAGGTGATCATACTGACGAGAGCTGTGATGTCGTCCACAAACCTCTCGGGGAATCTCAGCTTCCGTGGAGTTTCCAGCTTGTCAGCCAGGTGTAGGTGATGGCCCATACTCTTCACCTGGGGTCAATAATAATAATAATAAATAATAATCCCTGCATTTGATGCAAGTTGTTGTTGTTAGTACCGGGCAGGACAGAACCACCTACCATGAGCTGGAAGAAGAACCAGGCTTGTTGCAGGGCTGCTTCCCGCACACTGCTGGTGCTCACCACCCACTGCAAGGCCACCTCCTCATGAAGGAGCTATACACACACACACACACAAGTGAAGACACAAGAGTTAGTTCATCGCTGGTCACATCTCACCGGCTGTCTTGCCGTGCACAGCAGCATCCCCATTCTGACATTCAAGTGGGGAGCACTAGCTCCATTTATTCTGGGGGCGGCGGGGGAGGGGGGGCGCGATCACTATACAGAAGGAGGACAAAGTAGTAAAACTGTAGACAATAGTTCCCAGTCCATCACTGCCCACTGAGCCAACCCTCAATTGCAACCTCACTGACGTGCGACCTGAATTCCTAACAGCTGCCACTTCGGACAGATCAAATCCCTTCATGCCCTGGCACCTCCCTACCTCTCCGACCTGCTCACCACCCACCACCCCCCCGCCAAACCCATAGCCCGCTGGCTCCGGGCTTCTGCACGTCCCTCGTGCCCTCCGTTCCTCCATCGGTGGCCACACTTTCAGCCGCTATGCCCCGAAACTGGAACACTCTCCCTCTATCCCTTCCCCCACCTTGCCCCTTCTTCCCCATCTTCAAGTCGCGCCTGAAGATCTTCCTATTCGTCCGTGACTACGGCATCCCCCTCCCTCCCACTGGCTCGAGGTCAGTGTCAAGCGCTCTGGGACGCTACCCTGCATGAGGGGGCGCTTTGTAAATGTGAGTTGTTGTTGTTGCTGTAATTGAACCTGGAGAGAGGGTTACTCTTCACTGCGCTGGTGATTCTGTCTGACGTCGCTCCCTGAACCCTGTTTTTGTACCTCGCCATCCATCACTCTCAGAGTGTTACCGTGCACCAAAGAGCCCCTTATGTCTACTACCTTTTTGGCCGAGACTCGCAGGTGACTGGGTAGCGAATGAATGGCGCCTTCCAGGAAGGATGACATACGGTTAGGACTCCGCTCGTTTGCCTGTGAAATGAAGGGACAGGAAGCGAGATGGTGGAGAACAGGGATTAGTGGAATGGGAAAAAAATGAGATGGTGAGTATTAAGATTCTCAGTCAACAGGGGAGAGATTAAACCATTGAATGTACCAAACATACGCAACTGACGGGATCTGGGTTCAGATCTTGTATTTTCCTCAGAGCTCACTTTTTTTTAGACACAATGAACTGAGTTCATGGCTGTCGTCGATTTCCTCGGATATCAATGTCGTTCCCGCTTTGTAGCAGCTCAAGGATCTGTTTTGGAGGCTGACAGATTCACAAACCAAACACTTGCACTGTCTGTCTTGTGTTCCCTGGTATCCAGTCCCATTCAACACATACCCACCTTCCACTCTTTACCCAAATGAAAGCTTCTCTTCCCCCTTAAGAGGAAGAGACAAGTAGACATGCTCGCTCGCTAGAGGAGTGAGCAATGGGCGAAAAACAAGGTAAAAAGCTCTCAGCTTCCATCTCGGGGACTCGGAGAGACACTGTATCTGGAATCGACGACATTGGCAGCTGCTGAAGACGAGACTGAACTAGAATTAGGGCTACACATCTGATTTTTATCCACGGTTTCAGAAACTCAGGTCAGTTTGATTGCCGCGTTTTGCCCACAAAATATATGGTCAATCCACTTTACAGTATATTCTGTGAAGAGCTTTGTGACGTCTTGTGATAAGGCGCGATATCAAATGCAAGGATTATTATTGGTATTTAGCGTGATCTCCCCATTACAGTGCGCAGTTACTGCGAGGGAATGAATCTCAAGCGCAGGAGAGACTTGTTAAGTCTGGTTAGTATCAACCCATCACCGTGCTCCACTGAAAGCTTATACAGCAGAGAAGAGAGAGAATGGGAAGAGAGTCCATCCCATTGGAATTCCCATTGGCTCCCACCTCGATCCCGCAAGCGAGCTTGGACACCTGTGGCTGAGAGCAGAGAGGAAAAAGAGCTGGTGTGGGACAGGAAGGCCCTCAGTGTAGAATGAAGGAAATGAAAATAAAACGAATGTATCAGTTGATGGTATGGTTTTGGCCGCAACATGTGGAAGGCGGGGAATGAGAAAGCGATCTTGAGCCCAAAAAAACAAGGGGTGCGTGCGGTGATGCTTTTGATGGAATGGTTTGCGATGAAAACACCAGTCTTCACCTGCTTGAGATCACAACTTGAATTGGGATGGTTTCTCCGCAACACAGACTTTGGCCCGCCGGGTGCGTAAGCGGAATTAACCCAGGAGTGAGAGCGATCGATGCCCTGGCGGGTAGAGCACAAGAGGAGGCAGGACAAGGAGGGAAAGAACAAGATAAAAAAAAACAAGCATCTATCTGGTGGATAAAACATAAGCAATCGAGAGTGGCGCTAGGGATATCACGGGCCACTATCCAAAATATACGGTCAATTCACTTGACAGTGTATCCTGTGAAGCGCTTTGAGACGTCTCGGAGACGTGATAAGGCGCTGTATCAAATGCAAGGGTTATGATTATTATCCATCGGTCAAGAGTTTACGCTAAAACTTTGTGACTTAAATTTGAACTCGTTGGGACTTGAGGTAGCATCCCACTCCTCCCTCTTTCCACCCCCACACCTCCCACCACCTCTTTCCCCCCACTCACACACATATCCCTCCTCTCTCTCCCCCGCCCACACACCCCACCTCTCTCTTCCCCACACCTCTCCTCTCTCTCTAACCCCTCCAGCCCCACTCCTCTCTCTCTCTCTCTTCCCCCCCCACACACCTCCTCGCTCCCCCCTCTCTCCCCCCACCCCACCTCTCATTCTCTTTCCCACCCTCAGGTGGCGAATCCAATAGACTTTTCGCTCCCAATTCGTGGGGGTGATCAAGGAAAATTAACAAGTGTTCAGTATAATGTGATAACTATAAAATTAAAACAGAATGTTTTAAAGGTGACCTAAAGCCCACAACGAGTGATGTTGAAATCACTTGGGCCAAGACTTGGAAATGCCTGCAAACATGACATTATCCCCCATTTCTCTCCAGAGTATTTCAAACAAAATGTATATATATTGCCAAGTGTGCAACCTTACAGCAATGTCTGACTCTTTCACCCTGCTCACACCCACAACACACCCTCTAAAGATGCTGTGAAACACTTCATCAAAGTGTTCTATTGGATCCAATCTCCTTCCATGACAACGGCCAAACATTATATCTTGGGGGGGAAGGGAAAAAAGTTACATTTTAATCCCAGCTCCAATCACTCAAACAGGGATTACTCGATGAATTGTATCTCTCAACATCTCGGCAAAGAGAGTTTGTTAAACTCCAATGTCAAGGACATCATATCTCAATGTTTCTGAACGCTGTTGGTGACAGAATTGTGGGCGATTGCATCGGCAAACAAACAATGGACGTGCTTTCGTGATATCCCTGGTTCCCAGAGCAGTCACTTTGAGCTCGAACACATGAACAAACATGCAAAGGCAGTGAGTGCCGGGCGAGGCAGGCAGAGCAGGCAGCCCGTCAGCAAAAGGGCAACGCCAACGAAAGTGACAAGGTCGTGAGCAATCGATCGGGTTTGAGATTAAATAGAACAATACAACGTGCACAGACTCCAGCGCAAACCTATAAGGTCAACAGGGGGGAGAGAGGGGGGAAAATCAGAATGATCATTTGCAAAGCTCGTTAACCCGTTCGTTGCTGGATCACACACAGGGATTTTGCCCACAAAATAGTCAATTCACTTTACAGTATATCCTGTGAAGCGCTTTGGGACGTCTCAAAGACGTGATAAGACGTAACTAATTACAGAGCAGCAATGATTCATGACATCCACCCAGGGTGGCCCCACAGATTTAATTATTTTATTTTACTGCTTTAATGTGACAGGTTCTCTCTAACCACAAGTCTGTTTGCCAAGCACCTTCCGAAAGTTACTCCTCTCCCGCCCTTCTCCACAGGTTGCGCTCAAACAATTCCCACACTTTGATCAGGCGAAACCTGTCTTTCAGAGACTGACTGACACTTGGTGAGAAATGGATTTTGGCTCAGTTTATAGCGTGCGTCAAAGACCTCCTTCACAATGGACCCAATCCCTTTCCCCTGTTACACATGCCAACCTCACAGGCCTTTTCACAAGGATAGACACTATACTTTACAGTATATCCTGTGAAGCGCTTTGAGATGTCTCAACGATGTGATAAGACGCTATATCGAATGCAAGGATTATTACTTTCATACAAAAAACGCCTTAGTCCTGTCACCCTCTGCTGTCACTGTAATTAATAAGCTGTGAGTTTAATAGACGGGACCTAATTAATAACTGTCCCCTACATTGAACCACAGCTCTTTCCGCATGCACTCTGCTCGACCTGTCCCCCTCTCACCTCCCTTTCCCCCGCCTGTACCTTCAAAACTCTCCATGGCCTTACTCCTTCCTACCTCTGTGACCTCCTAAGCCCTGCCAACCTGTCCATTCCCTCCGCTCAGTGGGCTCCAGCCTGCTTCATTTCCCTCGCCTCGCCCGCCCCACCATTGGCGGTCAAGCCTTCAGCCTCTCCATCCTGCAGTCCCTCTACCTCGCCCCCTCCCTCCCTTGCCTTCTTCAAGACCCGTCTCAAGACCCTCCTCTTCGACCGTGCCTTTGGTCACCCTCCTACTCCTACCCTCCCCGCCCTCCATCCCTCCTGATCTCAACCACCAACTCTGGTGTGAATCCGACTGTCCAGCACCTTGGGACGTCCTCCTGATATGATAGGCGCCGTGTAAATGTAACCTGTTGTTGTAGTATCTCCGCTCCTGTCACCCCCACTCCCCCATGTGTACACCTTGTGTCATAAACTAATGTCACAGACAAGCGAATGGCACATCTCGCACTGAGCTACTGGCACCAGTGATCCGTGCAATGACCACAACGCTAATGGTTTATGGATTGAAAGTGGGCGACTGGTTGGAACACCAGGCTATGTGACCAGCACAGAAGAGATTAACAAACAGTTTGGGTAATTATTTCTAAACAACCTGCATGCACCCTGTTAATGCCCGTGTGTCGAGTTTACGCCTGAGAGAAAGGAAAGAGAAACACACACACACCGCTGAATGGAGTGCTAGTATCACGTTTAGTGTCGGTGAAATCTTCCCGTCAAAACAGACTGATCAGGCTTGTCAGGTTTTAGCTTCTAAAGGATGGCTAGTGGTGAGCACATATACACAGACACTCACGCGCGTGCGTACACACGTACACACGTACACACACACACACACCACACACACACACATACATACATACATATATATATATATATATATATATAAAGACACACCCACTGACGGATATTTATAGTGTCATTAATAAAACGTGTACATGCACCCAGCTGTGCACTAACACGCACACAGACACTTTCAGGGATATTAGCAAATATTATTCATGAACAGATGCGCATGCACAAACCCCTTGTGTGCGTGCAAGAACATGCGTGTGTACTCAAGCACACGGCATACACATGCTGTGATACCGGCACAGTCGGCACAGACGCCCGCAGTGACAATCTCTCTCTCTAAGGGCGTTCGGCTGGACTTACTTTGGCGCCCAGGATTTTCTTGACCTCATCGTCAGGTGTTGTGGGTGTTGAGGCGAGGTCAGGGTTACTGTTGCTGATGCTCTTCGAGCGGGACAGGTTGAGGCTGGTCGGCCGGGTGATGGCACGTGACAGCGTGGCGTACTGATAAGGGCCCGTGTACGAGGGGCTGCCTGGGCCTGCAACACAACAACCACAGGTCAGGGTGTGAGGCTCCCGTTATGGCGTGAGTTCAGCGCTAAGCTACAGGGTCGCAGTCAGAGCTACAATTACCCAGTGGTTAGGGAAGGTTCAGCTCAGGTTCCCACTCCCCCTCCACTCCACCCCACATTTAGCCTTCCCTCACCCCCACACCCCCCCCCCCCCCCCCACTCCTCCTCCCCTCACCCCCACACTCCCTCCTCCCCCACACTCCCCCTCGCACCGACTCCTACACCCCCTCTCCCCTCAACTGCAACTCCGTTCCTGTTCCACCCCACCCGCCTTCCCTGTTCGGGACGGACACTGAAGCCTTCACACCACCAGTCGATGTGACAGGCGCTGCACTGATTAGGTTTACGTGCATTACACTTGGGTGGCGTCGCTGCTCTATTCTGCAGTTGGATGCGATCAGGGTCTATTGACGCTCTATAGCATAGTTACCAGTGTTCTGTGTGTAGGGGTCGGTGTCAGGCAGGTGGAACATGTAGTGTATGTAGGAGGTCAGCAGGCTGTTCCGCCCTTGTTGGTCCTGATTCCCCTCCAGGTTCTTGTGGATTTGATTGACAAGCTGAGCCAAGGCCTCGAAAGAAACTCGCCCCAGGTTCACTGAAATAAATCAAGGCCACGATTTACGACACACACTCAGGCTCTTTTCCCATAGCCTCTGAGGACACATCGCTAACTCTCTCTGGTCGCATGTCACCTGGAGAAACTCCCAACTTTCTTGAACTGTTCGTGACATTGATTAGGCACCGGCTTTTACTCTTGAGGGTTGTGTCAGCCTGACCGCCCCCTCACCGCCCCCCTTCCTACGACTAATGGAAAAATCGCTGTGTGAGAGGAATAGCCGTGACATCCATTCACATTTTCCAGGTGATAATTTTATTTTAATTATTATTATTAATTTCTCAACTCGAACGGGGGGAAAATGTTTGCCTGAGAACCGAACCAGTGGTTTACACGGCAGCGACGATGGGGAGGCCACCAGCAACGCAACAGCAACAATGCAGCCGCCACCAGACATGCAGCTGCCATCAGTAACACTGTGTTACTGTAACCATCGCTGGAGTCCTGCAGCTCAGTGGTTAAGGCACTCGCCTCGCAAGCGAGAGACCTGGATTGGATTGCCCAGGCAGGGCAAAATGTTGGGCAAGTTTCCTTGCCCCACACACGCACCTCTGTTTACCTTGCAATGAGCAGGAACCCAGTCGTTAGTTGATTGGCGGATCGATTTTCCAGAGGGGTAATAACCCCTTTCAAAAATAAATAATTGGTCACTCAACCCACGACTGTTTGTGGGACGCTTGTGTGCAATTGGCTGCCGCGGTTCTCCCACAAACGTACAGTCACTACACTTTACAGTGTATGCTGTGAAGCTCTTTGAGACGCCTCAAAGATGTGATAAGGCGCTGTATCAAACGCAAGGATTATTATTATTAAGGAAACTCTCCCTCAGCACGCAGAAAGGCTACATCTCAGAATGCTACGCAGATAGACTGTGTAGTGACCGTGCGTCGTACTGTACTGACCGATCTGCCCGCCGATGACGGGGGGCCGGACGATGAGTAGGATGAGTTTGTTGAGGACGTGATGGACAAAGCGGAGGAGGGGCTCCATCCTGGCAGAGCGCAGACCCCCCACGCTGCTCTTCAGCTCGGTCTCCACATTGTTCTCAGTGATAATCACGTCCTTCAGCCGGAAGGGGAACGAGTATTCCTCCAACACGTGCACCAGGGTGAAGAACTTGTCCAGGTATTGGTCCTTTGGGGGGTAACAAAGGGATGGAATAAAATCACCGTCGGTCCTCACACTCGATCCCTCACACGGCCAAACATGCAGAGCTCCTCGTAGAAACTGTCTCACACACAAAACATACAGTCAATTCACTTGACAGTATACTTATTTTGTGAAGTGCTTTGAGACGTCTTGAAGACGTGATAACCTACATGTACAGAGGAGGGTAACCAGAAACATTCAGGGAACGGAGGCACTAGACTATGAGGCGCGACTAAGTAAATTGAGCGAGTTCACGCTGGAAAAGAGAAGATTGAGAGGCGACATGATAGCTGTCTTTAAGATTCTAAAGGGGCAAAACAGTATAGATCATGACAGGCTGTTTCAACTAGTCCAGAATAATAAAACCAGAGGACACAGCCTGCGATTGAAGAAGGGTAAATTCAGAACGAATTTACGCAACGACTATTTCAGCGCATGAATAATAATAATAATAATCCTTGCATTTGATATAGCGCTTTTCACATCGGGAGGACGTCCCAAAGCGCTTCACAGAATATACTGTAAAGTGAATTGACTGTATATTTGTGGGCGAACGCGGCAGCCAATTGCGCACAACAAACAGTCATGGATTGAAAATGACCAATTTATTATTGTTTTTATTTTTTGGAGGGATTACTATTAGGCTCTGTGTGGAGTAAGGAAACTTGCCCAAGGTTTCCCTGCCTGGAATTGAACTCAGGTCTCTCGCTTGCAAAGCGAGTGCTCTAACCACTGAGCTACAGGACTCCACAATAGTAAACCTGTGGAACAGGCTCCCGAGGGAGACAGTGAAGCAGGAAATATTGATTCTTTCCAACACAGATTAGTCAATTTTCTTTTAGGAAATAACATTACGGGATATCATACATATGTAGTTCGGGACATGTGTGCATGTGACTGCCAGGAACGTGGAACTTGGTCTTTTTATCGTCTAGCATTTCTGATGTTATGTACTGACTGTGCATGACACATGTACACGACTGACCCTCTGGCAGACACACACGCGCGCGATTACCTGGGTATGGACAGATGATACAGCCAACACTTCCACGTTAAACACTCCTTTGTGGTTGTCCACCCACTTCATACCGGGCAGCTGAACCTATTGAGGAGAGACTTTCAGAAATGCTTCTTGGAGCTGCTTACAAGACAAATAATACACACACACAAAGCCTCTCACTCCCTCGCCTCCTTCAAGGCACATCTCAAGATCCTCCTCTTCAACTGTGCCTTCGGCCACCCTCCTACCCCTACTCTCACTTATCCCAACCCCCACCCGAGTCCAAATCCCTGACTGTCCAGCACCTTGGGTTGTCCTCTGACATGAAAGGCGCTGGGTAAATGTCATGTTGTATTGAACCAAGAGGACACCATGAGAGTCTCTCGGTGAGGAGAGCAGTGAGATGCAGCCGACACATGGCAGCAATGTGTTACAGCTCTAATGATTGAACGCCACCTGTGTTATTCTCCCCAGAATACATATCCTGGCCTCTTGCTGTGCCTCACACAGACGCAATCTCCGGGGGATGCAGTACTTACATCAGGAGTGAGCACCGAATAACTGGGAGGCGGTTTCTCAACAGACACCGGGAGGCTGAACTGTCCAGTCTTGAGGCGTCCGTGTTGCATCAAAGGGATCCACTGTGTAAAATGGTGTGAAACAAATGGTGATTATTGTATATGACACACGACTGTGGATATAATGCACTTTACAGTGTATCCTGTGAAGCGCTTTCACACATCTTGAAGACATGATAAGGCGCTGTATCAAATGGGGGAGGGAGGCCCATTACTGGTTGGGCTTCTGTGCTGGAAGAATTCTGATCACAGGACCCCTGACCTCACAACAACTTGCTGTAAGTACACATCGCCCTTCACCAGGGTAGTGTCCCAGAGCGCCTTTGAGAGTGGCGGGGGACAACGCCAGGCCCTAGGCACAGTCGAACAGGAATGTCTTCAGATGCGACAGCTTGCATTTATATTGCTTCCCGGAGCTAGGAAGGGACAAGGCGTAAAAAATGGCGGACATCTGGGTCAACTTCCCTCAGGACAAGGAAGGGGCGTGGGGGAGGGGAGGGGTTGTGACACGGGACACTCTACGTTGGTACTCACGGTGTAGCCCACAGGGGCCTCCAGCAAGGTGGCCTGCTTCTGCTGACAGCTGATGTGGTAGAAGGTAAAGAGAAGGTGGTGATTGTCTGTCAGGTTAGGTGGAATCTTCATCTTGATCTCCTCGTAAAACTCTGGTGATCTGCGGGGGAGAGAGGGTTGGGGGGGGGGGGGGGGAGACACGTGGTGTGAAATAATAATGTAATAATAACAATAATATTGCATTTGATAAAGAGCCTCATCACGTCTTTGAGACGTCTCACAGCGCTTCACAGGACATATTGTAAATATACTGTGTAGCGGCTGTGTATTTTGAGTGCATGGTGTCAAGGGCTGAGCCAAGTGAATACATTCTACCTTTCTACACACTCGCCTTTTGTAGACACAAGACGTTACTCACTTATTGTGATACACGACTGCGCTGTAAGCCTCGCGGGAGGAATCTGGGCAGCTGGACTTCCCAAACGTGACCTAAATTATACAAAAGAACAGATGTTATTGGCAGTGGGTGGTGGGTTTTTCTAAGCGCTCCGAGACTCCTCTCTGATGTAAAGGTTGCTATATGAAAGTGAGTTGCTGAGCAAGTGTAGCAGCCCCCCTGTCCCATTGCGCACCGCATTCAAACTCAGAGCTGATCCTCTGGTCTCTGAAAAGGGGCTCCATGCTCTGCCCCAGGGGATGTTGCAGTGTGAGACAGGACCGTGGTCACCAACGTTTTCAAATCCATTCATGCCCTGACTCCTCCCTCTCTCTGACCTGCTTCCCTCCGCACCCCCCCCGCTCGACTGGTTCCAGCCTCCTGCTTGTCCTTCGCCCCCTCCTTTCCACCATCGGTGGCGCGCTTTCTACGCCCCAAAAACCTGGAACACTCTCCCTCCATCCCTCTGCTTTGCCCTTCCTTCCCCCATCTTCAGGTGTGACATGAAGATGGGGGAAGAAAGACCTTCCTATTCGATTGAAGACCTTCCTATTCGACTGTGCCTACAGTCACCCCACCCTCTCCAGCTCAGTGTCGTGCTCCGCCCGTCAAGCGCTCTGGGATGCTACTCCTGCGTGAGGGACGCTGTGTAAATGCAAGTTGCTGTTGGCATTCCTGCCTGATCCAGAGCCTCTTGGTGGCGAGCAGCTCTTAATGTGACAGAAAGCTCTGTTTGTGGCACAGCGAGTGTCTCTCTCACCGGCATAGCTGTGCTGATATCCTCTCCCGCCATGAACTGCACTTTGACGGCGATGTTTCGTACCGATCCCTGCCGGCTGCTGAAGTTCAGGGACTGCGGGTAGACAAACAGCAGGTTCCTGCAGGACAACAAGACACCACAGGCAACAAACAGTCAGTGTAAATCCCAGACCCACTCACTCACACCATAGCAACACAGGAACAGGAGACCATTCAACCCCTCAAGCCTGTTCCGCCATTCCATAAGACGATGGCTGATCCGTACCTCAAGTCCAATGATGCGCCCTTGCTCCGACTTCCTTAACACCCTGACCTAACAAATATCTATCACCTCAGTCTTGAAGATGTGAATGGATCCAACTGTAATCCACAGCCTTTTGGGGGAAGAGTATTCCAGATTTCCACTAAAACTTTGGGTGAAAAACTGCCTCCTGATTTCACTATTAAATGGCCAAGCTGCTCACTCAATACTTGGTTCAGCTTCACATCTCCAGCAAAGGACAGCACTCACAGTACTCCCGTCCCTACCCCTCCCCTGCTGAGTCTAGACTATAAGCTTACGTCTCAAATATGGAGTTAATCCCAAACTCCTTTAACCCAGAAACGACTGAGCCGAACACTGACTGCCAGATGACAAACTAAGATAGATTTCTGTTAGAATATGATGTCTGAGGAGACAGTATATAGTTTGGGACACCACATGTCAAGTGACTGCTAGGATAATAATAATCCTTGCATTTGATACAGTGCCTCATCACGTCTTCGAGACGTGTCAAAGCACTTCACAGAATATACTGTAAAGTGTCGTATCTGTGTATTTTGTGGGCGAAGTGATGTAGGATATGTGATGATACTAATAATATAGTTAAAGGATTATACCCAAACTGGTTCAATATTCCGACTAACCTGCTGTGGAATTCTAGCATTCACTTATTTTTGTTAAATAAGGATGGCCCACAGAATACCACAGTCACTACACTTTACAGTATATTCTGTAAAGAGTTTTGAGACGTCTCAATCAGGCATTATATTAAATGCAAGTATTATTATTATTATTGTGGTGGAAAGTGAACTAGACCTCGGTCTTCTTTCCCTTAGCAAATTCTTATGTTCTTCTGACTCGCCTGTGAAAGGGGAGTGAGGAGTGAATGGTGCCCCTACCTGTATGTAGTGTATGGTGCGTACACCTCTCTTGCTGCGAACTCCAGGATCTCCTTGGTGGGCCTGACGCGAGGATCTGGATACGGTTTGACGTGGAGCAGCTCAGGAGAGAGGCAGTAATGTGGGCTTTCAGGAGCAGGAGATATATCGATCTTCAGCTGAGCTGCCAATGGAGGGGGACAGAATAAAGCACTTAATAATATACAAATAGGGCGTATGGGCTGTTATAATATAATCCTTGCATTTGATACAGCGCCTTATTATCTAGAACTCTGCAGCTCGTTTCCTCTTCTGCAACAGGCTCCGTGACACCATCACCCTCGCCCTCGCCCGGCTCCACTGACTCCCCATCCCTTGGAGGATCGAGTGCAAAATCCTCTTACTCACCCTTCAAGGCTCTCTATGGCCTTGCCCCCTCCTACATCCGTGACCTGCTGACCCCCTACCAACGTGCCCGCTCCTTCGCTCAGCAGTCTGCGGCCTGCTTAACGTCCCCTGCCCGGCCAGCCCCATCATCGGAGGTTGGGCCTTCAGCCTCTCCGCCACTACCCTTCGGAACTCCATCCTACATTCCCTTCGCCTCACTCCCTCCCTTGCCTCCTTCATGGTCCTCTTCGACCTCGCCTTTGACCACCCTCCTACTCTCCCTGAATCCGACCCCCAGCTCAGGTCCAAATCCCTGACTGTCCAGCGCCTTGGGACGTCCTCCCGACGTGAAAGGCACTGTGTAAGTGTAATTTTGTATTGTATGTCTTAGGAGACGTCTCAAAGCGCTTGATACTCTCCGTCTTGGCTGAAGCTTACCCGTCACCGGCCGCAGCCTCCGGAGGACGGACGAGGGTCTCCGCATATCAGCCAGGAACTTGTACAAGTCTTCGTCGCTCAAGCGATCCCCTTCCTGGCGAAAACAAAGAGGGGCTCGTCAAAGCCTCAGCTTCTTCTGTAACTCTTCAACAACAGCACACTTACACGGCGCCTTTCACGTCAGGGAGGGGTGGGGACGAGGAGGGGTAGGAGGGTGACCTAAGGCACAGTCGAAGAGGAGGTCTTGATACGGGTCATGAAGGAGGCTCTCTATACCTCAAGCAGCTAGCAGAAGGCAGAATGCCAGAGGGAGGGAGAGTGGGAGGCTTCACTGCTAGGAGAGGTGGACGCTCATTCCTCCCCCTTCTGCGCCCCACCACCCCAGGGAGCCTGCGCTTCAGTCCGACCTGTTTGAAGAAGTTGGTGACAGTCAGGGTGGCTGGGCGAAAGTTGGTGTAGTTACAGGCATCGTCTCCGATACTCATCCGTTCCAGAGTTCGTTTCTTTCTCTCAGTCCAGGTTCCTTTGCGGTCTGCAATAGAATAACGATAAACATAATCCTCGCATTTGATACAGCACCTTAGCACGTCTTTGAGACGTCTCAAAGCGCTTCACAGGATATACTGTAAGGTGAGTTGACTGTATACTTTGTGTGGGAAAGGCGACAGCCAAACGACTAATAACCGGGTTCCTACTTACTGCTGGTAAACAGAGGCGTGTGTGTGTGAGAGGAGTAAGGAAACTTGTCCAACATTTCGCTATGCCGAAATCAAACCCAGGTCCTCTCGCTTGCGAGGCGAGTGCTCTAACCGGTGAGCTACAGGAATTCACCCAAACCAGTGGCACTGCTACAGACCCACGGGGAGCAAGCGAGCGGGAGGGAGGAGGGAGAGGGAGGGAGAGAGCAGGAGGCAGCAGGAGAGAGAGAGGAAGGGAGCAGATAGGCAGGTGGTCTCACCGGTCTCGGAGTCGGAGGAATCGCGCTCCAGGCTGCCGGCGCTGTTCACAATGTTCATGAGGTGGATTGCGGTCCAGGCGAACGGCATCCGGAACTTTCCCAGCTTGGTGCAGAACTGATCGGCCTGATTCTTCAGCTTCTCCAGCTTCTCTTTGTGCTGCGGGAGGAACACACAGTCACTACACCAGCACAGTGAGGAGAGCACAGTCACTACACCAGCACAGTGAGGAGAGCACAGTCACTACACCAGCACAGTGAGCAGAGCACAGTCACCTCACCAGCATAGTGAGGAGAGCACACAATCACTACACCAGCACAGTGAGGAGGACACACAGTTACTCCAGTCACTCTGCACCACCTCTATACCGTTGTGACCAATAACACTTTCAATGGGATTTACATCAAGAACAACAGCAAATGATATTTGTATATAGAGCCTTTCACGTCGGGAGGACGTCCCAAAACACTGGGAGATTACACTGGGATTACACTGCAGGGCACTGGATGTGATCACATACCTTGGTGGAGTCAGACTCCCTCATGACCATGTAGGGCTCAGCACACTCCCCGATGTCACCCTGTTGCAGCACCTTCTCCAGCTACATTCGGAAAAAGTAACAAGGCTTTGAGTTAGGGCAGGGCTGTCAAACTCACGCTCAAAAGGCAGATGAAAGCTCTTTTAACTTAATAATAATAATAATCCTTGCACTTGATACAGCGCCTTATCACGTCTTCGAGACGTCTCCAAGGACTTACCCAGGTCTCTCTCGCTTGAAAGGCGAGTGCTCTAACCACTAAGCTCCTGGGCTCCACAATTTGTGAAACAGCACCACACAATTCCTCTCCCGCCCCCCACCCCACCCCCACCACACTCAACCCCCCACCAATAGCCCTTCCGACAAATGCCAATACTTCACACAACCATGTACCCCACAGGCTCTTACCTTAATGACCAGGAATATATCAGTGGACGGGTACGTAATAGAGAAGATGGCGGAACGAGCTAGTGTGGAGATGGCAGCGTGGGAAACGTGAGGACGCAGCATACCCTTCATCTGGTCTGAATTCAAGTCAAAGTAAAAGTTCTCGGAGATCTGGGGGTGAAGAGCAAGGAACGTAATAATAATCCTTACATTTGATACAGCGCCTTATCACGTCTTCGAGACGTCTCAAAGCGCTTCACAGAATAGACTGTAAAGTGAATTGACTGTATTTTGTGGGCGAAACATGAGGGTAATCAGAGTAAACAGGGACTCTCTGTAGGAGGTGCCTGCCTCTGACACGCTCCCGGTCAAGAGACAGAGAGAGAGAGATGGCGAGAGACAGACAGAGAGACAGACAAAGAGACAGAGAGAGACAGACAGACACAGAGACAAAAGCATGACTTACTTTTTTCTTTTCCTTCACGTCGTAGAGGGCAAGAATCCCAAATATCGGCTCGATTTCGATTTCAAATCTGCCAATGAGAGACGAGAAGAAAATCAACCTCCCCGCAGAGCACACTGCTGTGGACGTTTGCAAAACAGTGGCAATTTAATCAGGTTTGGCCTTGGGAGTCTGAATGCAACACTAAACATGGAGTGGGAAGAGGAGTCTCGATTAGCTGCTTAAAAGGGTGGTGAAAACAGATTTGATAACAACTTTTAAAAGGGAATTGGATAGGTACTTGAAGAGGAAACATCTGCAAGCATATGGGGAAAGAGCGGGGGAGTGGGACTGGTTGGATAGCTCTTCCAAAGGGTCGGCACAGGCACGATGGGCCGATTGGCATCCTTCTGTGCTGCAATAATAATAACAATCCTTGCATTTGATATAGTGCCTTATCGCGTCTTCGAAACGTCTCAAAGTGCTTCACAGGATAGACTGTAATGCGAGTTGACTGTGTATTTTGTGGGTGAAATGCGGCAGTCAATTGCGCAAGCACAGTCGTCGATAGAAGTGACGGAGTTATTATTTTCTAGGATCCTATGATACTCACTTTAGCGACAGGCATTTGACAAGAATTCTTTGTCCGAAATGTTCCTTGGGCACTTCTGGAATGGTATAGCGTTCCACCGCTTCATCCTGTTTGTGATCAAACAGTTACTGATTGTAAAGGGGTAACTGAGTGCAACACCATTGTTGTGCACAAAGTGGCATCAATTCTCACAATAATAATAATAGTAAATATAATAAATCTGGCTTCTGATACCACGCCTTTTGTGTCAGGAGAGCCTCTCAAATTGTTTCACGGGTTTACTTCCGAGGGTGATGGCTGCTTGTCCCTCGTGCCCTCCGTTCCACCATCAGTGGCCGCCACTTTCAGCCATTACGCTCCGAAACCTGGAACACCCTTCCTCTATCCCTCCGCCTCGCCCCCTCCTTCAGGTCATGTCTGAAGACCTCTTCGATCATATCTACGGTCACCTCCCCGCTCCCCCTCCCCCCGGATCTGCGTCGTGCTCCACCACTGTCAAGCGGTCTGGAACGCTGGGGAGCGGCGCTAAGACAGCTTTACCTCATCCGGGGACGGGAACAGCGCCAGCACTTCCCGGTGTCTGTTCTCTCTCCTCTGCTCTCCGTTGCGTCGATCCACCTCCTCGATGGCTGTGCGCTCCAGCAGGCTGGGCAGCAGCACGTCGCCCATGGAGTTTTTCAGATCAAAGATACTGGAGGCCCAACTACCCCGGGGTGTGTCGTCCAGAGACATCGAACGACGCTTCAATTCATCCTGAAACCAGGGACGTCAATCAGACCAGACCCGCCAGACTGGGATCGAAGAGGATTTAATGATGATAATAATCCTTGCATTTGATATAGCGCCTTATCATGTCTTTGAGACATCTCAAAGCCCTTCACAGAATATAATGTAAAGTGAACTGACTATATATTTTGTAGGAGAAACGCGGCAACCAATTGCGCACAGCAGCGTCCCACAAACAGTTGTGGATTGAGTGACCATATTTTTTATTTATTTTTGGGGGATTATTACCCATGGAAAGCGATCCGATATCGACTAACAACTGGGTTCTTACTTACTGCTAGGTAAACAGAGGTGCGTGTATGGAGTAAGGAAACTTGCCCAACATTTCACCCTACCGGGAATCGAACCCAGGTCATCTGGCTTGCGAGGCGAGCGCTACCACTGAGCTACAACAGTCAATCAATCAGCATCGCAGCGTACTAAAGCCCTGGGTGATGGCACAGCAGTGACTAACTGCTTAGTTTCTCAAATACCTGTTCGTCCTGGTTTCCTCGATCATCTGCTACCTCATCACTCTCGAAAATCTGTTTGCAGAGCCCCTTCTGTCTCTCCCGTTGTCTCTCCGTTGTGTTGGGATTGAACACTGTGCTCAACTGCTGGTACCTTGAAAAACATGTTGCAGGGTTACAAACAGAACCAAACCTATTGGCGGTAACAAAATCTCAAAGGTTAGCTCATTCCATCGGGCTCTCTGCCCTACTCCCTCGTCGCCACTTTGATTTTAAGACATCTTAAACGTGTCCAAACAAAGCATCTCTTGCAGCTCCGTGACCCCATCACCCCGACCCTCGTCCTCGCCCGGCTACCCATCCCAGCGGATAGAGTTCAAAGCCCTCCACGGCCTTGCTCCTTCCTACCTCCATGACCTGCTAACCCTATATCAACCTGTCTGATCCCTCCGCTCAGCAGATTGGGGCCTAGTCAATGTCCCCCGCCCGGCCCGGTCCACCATCGTTGGTCGGACCTTCAGCCTCTCTACCCCCACCCTTTGGAATGTCATCCCACATTCCCTTCATCTCGCTTCCCTCCCTTGCCTCCTTCAAGGCCCTTGTCTTCTCTTTGACCGCGCCTTTGGCCACTCTCTAAAGCTCCATCCTCCCTGATCCCAATTCCCTCCCCACCATCTCAGCTCGGGTCCAAATCCCTGACTGTCCAGCACCTTGGGACGTCCTCCTGACGTGAAAGACTCAGTGTAAATGTAATTTTGTATTGCATTGTAAATTCTGTCACTGTTACAGCACGACAGAATAATTACTACAGCAGCACAGCGCACTGATAGAATTAAGCTGCGAGACTTACTTTCTGTGGACAATGACCCAGTCGTCGGTGTAGATCTGGACAGAATCCCTCACACGAGCATCCATTCCCCTAAGAGAGAAGGAAACCATGTGTGAGCTGGAGATGAATTGAAACATCGGTGGTTAGAGCCTATGGAGTTCTGTAGCTCAGTGTTTAGATCACTCGCCTCGCAAGTAAGAGACCTGTATTCGTTTCTCGACAGGGCAAAATGTTGGGCAAGTATCCTTACTCCACACACACGCCTCTGTTTACCTAGTAGTAAGTAGGAACCCGATCGTTAGTCGATTGGCCTATCACTTTTCCAGGGGTAATAATAATTCCTTCAAAAAAACGTGTATCCTGTGAAGCGCTTTGAGACGTCTTGGAGATGTGATAAGGCGCTATATCAAATGCAAGGATTGTTATTATTATTGCTCAGGGCAGGGTTACGTTCTGCCGCACGTGCTGCTTCCCTGAGCCTGGGATCCTCGTTCCCGCTTGCCGCCGAACACTCACGTTTCCTCCGGGATTCCTGGCTCCATGGTACGACATTCCCGCGGCTCGTATACCACCTCGATATCGTCCGCTGGAAACTCGAACAGCTCCCTCAGCAACCCCTGCTCACAGGCAGGAGGGTGCGTCGTCAGGTACTCCTCAAAGTCTACCGGTTCCACCACCTCCGATAGGGGAACCTGCGAGGAAGGACCCCATATATAGCCAACATCATTCATTTCGCCCTCAAAATACAGTCACTACACTTTACAGTATGTTGTCCTGTAGCTCAGTGGTTAGAGCACTCGCCTCGCAAGTGAGAGGACCTGGATTCGATTCCCGAGCAGGGCGAAACATTGGGCAAGTTTCCTTATTCCACACACACGCCTCTGTTTACCTAGCAGCAACCCAATTGTTAGTCGATTGGGGTATCACTTTTCTGGGGGTAATAATCCCTTGAAAAAATTAATAATAATAAATAGTAATAATTTGTTCACTTAATCCATGACTGTTTGTGGGACACTGCTGTACGCAACTGGCATTCACTTTACAGTTCAGTGAAGCGCTTTGAGACGTCTAGAAGACGCAAGGATTATTACAATCGTCAACTGTACATCAACCTTTGGAGGAAAATAAAAGTCCTTGCAATTTTAATCAGAATGATCTGTAATAGTTTGGTTTGTAATGGCTGGAGATGGGGGTGAGACACTGTACTGGCTGGGGATGTTACTGGTTTTAAGAAAGAGTCATTTAAACAAATCAAGACGGTCTCTAAAGCAGTGTTACTTGTGGCGTAATAGTTTCCTTTGGAGACCGCACGGTGCAATCTTCACATCAATATCTGTCACCACATCCTTTCTTCTTACACACACACACAAGAAGATTGTCACTTGATTGTCTTATCACTTGAAGCAGGCTATCAGACCGTAACACTGGATCAAAGCTCGGTCACCAAACACAAGCGCGATGTAGGGCACTCGGCCCTTCACAGAGCCAAAAACTCAGCCTCCTGCTAGACTCAGCAGCTGTGACACTGGACCACAATGCAGAGGATGATTAGACCATGGAAGCTGCCTTGTGACCAGAGTAGAGTGAGTGTGGGCAAAGCGTGATTTGTTTTGGAGAACATGGTAACTAAATGGGACTGTTGGCTTGGACACATTACTCTGTAGCTCAGCGGTTAGAGCGCTCGCTTCGCAAGCGAGAGACCTGGGTTTAGTTCCCACCCGGCGAAATGTTGGGCAAATTTCCTTACTCCACACGCCTCTGTTTAGCTAGCAGTAAGTAGGAACTCGGATTGTTAGTCGATTGGCTAACTTTTCCTTCAAAAAATAATAATAAAATGTCGTGCCCCTCCATCTCCCCCACCCCCCACCAGCATCCTCCTCTCCCTCTCCGCTCGCATTCCAACAATAAATACTAATTTGGTCACTTCAATCTACGACTGTTTGTGGGACACTGCTGTGCGCAAGTGGCTGCCGCGTTTCGCCCACAAAATTATACAGGTCAATTCACTTGACAGTATATTCAGTGAAGCACTTTGAGACGTGATGAAGTGCTGTGTCAAATGCAAGAATTATTGTTATTATTATAATTGGACTTGGTATTGGGGTGGCTTCAAGGAATCAAGAACATAGGAGCAGAAAGAGCTTGTTATGTCAATTTATTAGATGAGGCAAAGCTTTTAATCCCATTTCCCTACCTCTTCCCCAATTCCCGTTAATAGCCTTACTCATTGACTATCTATTTCTCTTCTACATGTCCCACAGGGTGCCTGGTGTTAGGGACAGCTGCATTACTGACCGACTGATGGGAGCCGCTACGTTTCTTGGACAGCTGGGGTGAGATGCTGTATTGGCTGGAGACCTGCTTCCTGACTTCAGCTGCCACCGTCCTGCAAAGAGAACAATAATCCATTGGAATAACATTCCATCCCCACAATGGGAATCTGGCAAACGGTCAGACGCTGGAATGAGAGTGATATNAAAAAAATTGATATATGGAGGCCAGCCTCAGGAGACCGAAATTCACGCTAGTCTTAGCCTCTGATATCATTTTGCCTTTAAATGTAAGGAAGCGCAAAATTGTGGGAAATTCTTAAATTGAGCCTTAATTTGTGCAATCTTAATTTTTAAGAGGATCAAGCAGGTTAAGACTAGGTGGAATTTTGAGCCTTGTGTATTCAAATATCCATCATTTTGAATAAAAACAAAGCATTTGATTCCAGCACTTATACTTGGTGGAGTTTATAGTTATACAAAAAAGAGGTGGGGCATGAGACCGTTAGCCCTACAGGATGTCCTGAAGCTAAAACTAGGGGAATAATCACAAGGCTGGGAAAAACTACCTTATTCCCCAGAATATGAGGGACCAGGAATAATTACTCAGTAATTCCTCAGCTCTAACAAACAGACGCTTTAATTCAAGTGGAATTCGGTGCCAGGCTCAATCAGATACCATGTCAGAGTTTCATCAGATCTGAGTGAATAATAAAAAAAGGTACCTGAAAAAACAAGTATCAACATAATGGAGTTGTGTATCTCACTGGTTAGAGCACTCGCCTCGCAAGTGAGAGACCTGGGTTTTATTCTCGGCAGGGCAAAATGTTGGGCAAGTTTCCTTACTCCACACGCCTCTGTTTACCCAGCATTAAGTAGGAACCTGGTTGTTATTGGTGGATTGCTTTTCCGAGGTTAATAATTCATTCAAAAAATATAATAATGGTCACTTCAACCCACGACTGTTTGTGGACACTGCGGTGCGCAACTGGCTGCCACGTTTCACTCACAAAATATAGTCAATTCACTTTACAGCGTATCCTGTGATGTGCTTTGAGACGTCTGGAAGATGTGATAAGGCGCTGCATCAAATGCAAGGATTATTATAATAATTTGCAATGATTAATTGAAATACTGCCGGGTTATTGGATATCTGGTTGCATATATTAAGGTGTTGACACAGACAGGCATTGCTTGCCCACTGGAGTGCTCAGAATAGCCCCACAGTGTCCAGTCACTGCCTGGAGATCTGCGGAATCCAATGGAGGACAATACCAGTAGGAATGAATCCACATCCTCAAAACTGTTTGCAGGAAATGCTGAATAATTGAAAACTCCCATGCACTTCCTCAGCCTTTCCGAGGGCCACTTCCCCAGAGATGCGGAGCATTGTGTTTAAGGTACAGCCCCCCCCCCTCCCACTCCCACTCCCAGCCTCCACCAAACATATTCCTACTCATCTCAATTATAATCAGCTCAACATTAAAGCTAGGCCGTTTAAATCATGTTTTCACACCCAGAGGTTAGTGTAAATCTGGAACTCTGTCCCTCCCCCCAAAATGCTGTGGATTATGGCAGAATCCATTCACATTTTCAAGACTGAGGTGGATAGATTTTTGTTAGGTCAGGGTGTCAGGGGATATATAATATAAAGCAGAGCCAGCGACAGAAACGGTCAGGCACCATCAGGACATTGACATTGACTTTGTCGTATATCTACATTACCACATCACCAGCGAGCAGATTTTAGGGCCGGTATTTTTCTCCTGCTTCTGTTCTGTGGGATTGAGCGACCGTGGTTGGGTGTGGGGGGTGGGGTGGGGGGGGGAGGAAAGGCGGTAAATAAATTCAGAAACCCCCTGCAGCAAAGCAATGTCAGAACGAAACCAGAGCAGATGGGAACTGAGAGGAACAGCAGGTCCCATCATCTAGATACATTCACCCAGACTAACCAGACAGGAGGATAAACAACACTGTAACCTTGGAGCAGGAGGAGGCCATTCAGCCCTCAAGCCTGTTCCGCCATTCTATTAGATCATGGCTGATCTGTACCTCAACTCCACTTGTTCCACCTCCCGATCATCCTTGCCAGACAGCAGTCTGTCGGACCCATCTTGAAACAATCCAGGATACTTGTTTCACTCTGACGTTCTGGCCCACAAAACACACAGTCAATTCACTTTACGTCTCCGAGTTGTCTCAAAGCGCTTCACAGAATAGACTGTACACTGTATATTTTGTGGGCAAAACGTGGCAGCCAATTGTGCACAGCAGTGCCGTGGATTGACGTGACCAAATTCTTATGATTATTATTAATTATTATTACCCTAAAGCAGGAGGATTGCACCTGGTAGCAGCTGACTGAGCAAACCCAAATCCTGTTGGTAGTACAGTAAGCCCCAGAGATTCACAGCAGCTTTTGCTCGTGGAATGGAACCATAACAGGAAGTGATTCACTCCGGGTCTGACTAGCTGCCGGGTTTGAAAAATGGATTTCCATAACTTTTACTCCGCGCTTCCAATCCCTGAGGAATCCCACAAAACAGAACCCTCAACGGGCGAGAAACTTGGCCTTGGCAAGCCCAAGCCCAAGCCCAAGCGTGGCACAGATCTCACCCCCTTCAGCGGGCATTGGGCCGGTCATCACAGACATAGGCATAACATGACTAAATGGGATCTCAAGCATCGCTCTTCCAGGAAAGCAGATTAGTCATAGCTCCCCCCCCCCCCTCACCCCCCCCGGGTCTTTGCATAAAACAAGGCAACACACAAGCACAGCGCCGAGCTGAACAAAGCCTGTATTGCTGGTCCTGAAACAATGACCCTGGTGATATCTGCCACCTTACACACACCCTACACACAACTTATATTTGCATTTCTACAGCGCCCTTCACGTGGGATAGCGTCCCCTCCACACACACACGCGCGCGCGCACACGCGCACACACATACACACACACACACACACTCTACCCATCTGGCCAGGACTAAGCCCACACTGTAAGGTCTGCTTTTCCATGACTTATCATTTCAGAAATGTATCATTGCTTCCAGAAATCGAAACAAACGTAATAAAATCTGCTTCTTTGCCATCAAGTTTCAAAGTTCATTAGGGCAGCGCTCGCGCTCTCGCTCTCTCACTCTCTCTCTCCCCCCTCAGGCTGGCCTGGTGCAATCTGACAGCCAGTTAGTTGTTTGCAAAATTAGTGTTCTTTTTAAGCTGTTTAGTTGCTTGCAAGGAATGGTAAGGATTGCTAGGATTATCGTCAATAGGGGCGCTATATAAATGCAAACAGATCACCATTCATAAACCAAACAGATCGTCTTCAAAAAAGGATTGTTCACTTCAATCCACGACTGTTTGTGACACTGCTGTTGTTTCTGTCCTTTCTCCCCCACATCGGCGCCATGACCGGCACTGCCTACCACCACCTCCGCAACATTGCCAGACTCCGCCACCGCCTCACCCCTCAGGCTGCCCAAACCCTCACCCACGCATTCGTCACTTCAAGGCTCGATTATGGAAAATCCCTCCTCATCGGCCTTCCAAACGCTTCCCTTCACAGATCATCCAAAGCTCTGCGGCTCGTGTACTCTCCCGCACCAGGCTCCGTGACCCCATCACTCCCACCCTCGCCCGACTCCACTGGCTCCCCACCCCCCAGAGGATCGAGTTCAAGATCCTCGTCCTCACCTTCAAGGCCATCCATGGCCTCGCCCCCTCCCACCTCTCTGACCTGCTGACTCCCTACCAACCTGCCCGCTCCCTCCGTTCAGTGAGCTCTGGACTGCTCCATGTCTCCTGCCCTACCTTCGGTGGCCGGGCTTTCAGCCTCTCTGCCCCCACGCGCTGGAACTCCAACCCACAGTCCCTTTGCCTCGCTTCCTCCCTCGCCTCCTTCAAGGCCAGTCTCAAGACCCTCCTCTTACATCGTGCCTTCAGTTGCCCTCCTACCTCCCCTACCCCACCCCTGCCCCATGCTCAGGTCCTGTCCAGGGTCTTGGGACGTCCCCCCGACATGAAAGGCGCTCTATAAATGTAATTTTTTTGTTTCACCCGCAAAATATACAGTCAATTCACTTTACAGAATATCCTGTGACGACAGAGGGAGGGATAGAGTAAGAGTGTTCCAGAGTTTCCGGGCGTAGTGGCTGAAAGCGAAGCCACCGATGGTGGAATGGAGGGCAAACTATTAGCAAGTTCATGGCCGCAGTTGAGGTTCGTCGTTGAGGTTGGGAGGGCCTCCCCGCCCACACTTGCACTTCACAGCCACTCAGCAGTGAAACATGAAACATCGCAGAAAACATAGCGATGTCTGCTTTATTAATATCGTTGTTAAAGTGAAGCAGGTTAAACGCCCCCGCTCCCACCCTCATCCCTGTCACCCAATATCCCCACACGTGCACTTTCCAGCAGGAATAACAATCCCTGTTATCGTCTTCGAGTCGTCTCAAAGCGCTTCACAGGATACACTGTAAAGTGAATTGAGTGTACATCATGAGACAGCAGACAGAATGTGAAGCGGTTGATGTCGCTTCCTACCCAGCAATTCACTCAACAACAACCCGACCTGGAGCCTTCCTGCTGATATCTCACGTTTAGACAGGGAAACTAATTTAACACAACACCAAACGCCTTGCATCTGATACAGCGCCTTAGCGTGTCTTCGAGACATCTCACTGTGAATATATTTGCACCCGCAAAATATACAGTCAATTCACTTTAGAGTGGCTTCTGTCATGCGCTTTGAGACGCCTGGAAGACATGGTAAGGCGCTCTATCAAATGCAAGGATTATTATTATTATTAGTTGTAAAATGCTAATCAAAACGGCAGTCTGATCTCCAGAATGTATGACCTAATTTAATGTGTGCCCCGCTCTGGTGATTACTGTAATCTGTGCTCGGCTTCACCGTGGCTTTCCTTTGATTGAGATCACAGGGTATGAAGTCACCTAAAGTGCCACTTGCATCCAATCTGCAAGAGAGTAAACCTGATATCAATGAGGAAATCGTGGGAGCTGGCTTGTGTCCAGATTGCATCAATCGATGGGTGGGTCACAGAAGTTTTATTTGGTAATAGATTATTCCCTCACACTCAAATAACATTCGAACCGT